GTAACTCTGGGGAGAATCCCAGGGCAAAATACCTTTGAAACCGAAATCAGTCAAAGGAAGAAATGAAGTGAAAGAAACCCATATATTTCTTACAAGCAGTCATCTCACATCTCTTTCATCTGGCTGCAGCAGAAAAACCCTCCACCCAACCTCTCCAGTCCAGATAAGTCCTCACTTGCCCTTGTAATTACCTATTGATATGGAGATGGACTACTTCTCTCCACCCCTTGGAAACACCTACTGATAGGGAGATGCACTAAAGCCAGGCGAGATATTCTGGAAATACTGCAATTTTACCCACAACAGTTCTCTAAAAAAAAAGCAAAATATTCTATTACAGAAGATAATCACCAAAGCCCTTGGTAGATAAACTAAGAAATTAAAAGAGGAAAAGGATACAGCTTCTAAGAGTACTCAGGCTCCCTAGTAGGCAGGGCTGACCTTGTCCCTGTGTGGCATATGTGGAGGGGGTGGCCTTTGGCTGAGTCCTGGGCTGTGGGCACCCAGACAGCCTGAGGTATTAGGCAGGTCCGGGTTTTCAGAGTTAAGTCCAAACAGGAGGACAAGTTTTATTTGTATGTTTGTATACAAAGTTTCCAGGCAGCCAGTTTCTCTTCCTAGTTAGCTCTAAGTTGTCTAAATATTTTTGGAAATTAGTTGAAGTAAGTCTTACAATTTGGATCTCAGTGTTTAAAGGAATCTGTATAAGCAGCTCAGCAAAATCAGAAATAGGGCCTCAGAAAGTAGCCAGTCCACTAAGTAGGTATTAATAACACGGATGTTGAAGAATGTGGGCAAAGAGGCATTGAGAGGTGCATGCCCTGGACAAAGATATTAATCAGTACAAAGCTGTTGCATATAGTGAAGTGTGGATTTAGAAAGAAGAGGAGGAAGTATCATGAGGGTAATGGAAAAAACTGCATTGGATGTAATAATATTTTTTTAATTAATAGAAACTTTTATGTATGTGCTTTTAACTTACTAGAAAAATGTTGAAATTTTTCTGATACAATTTTTTTTTAACCTTATTTCTTATTTCTACCACCATCTACTCCTTGCCTCTGGCAACTACCAATCTCTCTTCTATTTCTATGAGTTCATTGTTTTTTAGATTCCATCTGTAAGTGAGGTCATATGTTTGTCTTTCTATTTCACTTTGCATAATGCCTTCAAGGTCAATACATGGTGTTGCAAATAGCAGGATATCCATGTTTATGCCTGAATAAAATTCCTAAAACAAGGTGTATGTTTTCTTCATCCATTCATCTATCAGTGGACACTTAAATTGTTTTGTCTTGGCTACTGTAAATATACCAAACGCTCATGTCCACCAGCTCATCCTGGGTATAGGGGCGGGGCATGGAGTGCTCCACAACCTGGGGACAGGACAGCACCTTCCCCTGAGGAGCCCTCTGTTGTGTTTTTACTTTCTTCATTACACTGGACAGGCCTTTCTCCTGTAATATAGGAGAGGCTGGTGCCTCAGCAACGGATCAGCCCTTGACCACACTCCCTCATCCTCTCAAGACGTCTCCTCTACCATCTCCTGGGCTGAAGAAACTGCATTTTCCTCCCCCTCCCCAATGGCCTCCTGCAACACGGATTCTCCTGTTGCCTCCCTCACTACTAACATGTCTTCCAGGAGTGTGACCCTTCTTCTCAATAACTGTCTCTCTTAAAAGCATCCTGTAGGACATCGCCCAGGTCCTCCAAACGATACTGAGGTGTGTCTCTCCTGTTGAAGTCTTTCTCTCTCCTCAATAACCCTCTCTCTCTTCTTGATAACACTTTCTGCTATCTCAAGGAAAAGAGATTCTACAGTCCCAGCTGGTACACATCCACTCACAGCATTTAAGCCATCTTCTATCTCACAGAGGGCTAATTCCACAACTGGTGTTTCTACTCTTCCCCAATTCTCGGGAAGGCCCCACCCCTCTATGAAGTGCTTTACCATAGACCAGTTCCCCACTAGGGGTTCCCCAGTTGGAATCCCCACAGATAGGGGCCTCCCAAGTGAAGTTGTATCCTCTATCACTGCAGCCACTTGGGCCTCCCCACCATCCACAGGGGAGGTTCCGGGCATCTCCCCACCATCTCTAGGGGCAGCCTGCCCAAGGGTTGCACCCATGTAGACAGATTTCAGGTTCAGAGGTTCTGCTGACTACCGCCAGATGTAACTCTGGGGAGAATCCCAGGGCAAAATACCTTTGAAACCGAAATCAGTCAAAGGAAGAAATGAAGTGAAAGAAACCCATATATTTCTTACAAGCAGTCATCTCACATCTCTTTCATCTGGCTGCAGCAGAAAAACCCTCCACCCAACCTCTCCAGTCCAGATAAGTCCTCACTTGCCCTTGTAATTACCTATTGATATGGAGATGGACTACTTCTCTCCACCCCTTGGAAACACCTACTGATAGGGAGATGCACTAAAGCCAGGCGAGATATTCTGGAAATACTGCAATTTTACCCACAACAGTTCTCTAAAAAAAAAGCAAAATATTCTATTACAGAAGATAATCACCAAAGCCCTTGGTAGATAAACTAAGAAATTAAAAGAGGAAAAGGATACAGCTTCTAAGAGTACTCAGGCTCCCTAGTAGGCAGGGCTGACCTTGTCCCTGTGTGGCATATGTGGAGGGGGTGGCCTTTGGCTGAGTCCTGGGCTGTGGGCACCCAGACAGCCTGAGGTATTAGGCAGGTCCGGGTTTTCAGAGTTAAGTCCAAACAGGAGGACAAGTTTTATTTGTATGTTTGTATACAAAGTTTCCAGGCAGCCAGTTTCTCTTCCTAGTTAGCTCTAAGTTGTCTAAATATTTTTGGAAATTAGTTGAAGTAAGTCTTACAATTTGGATCTCAGTGTTTAAAGGAATCTGTATAAGCAGCTCAGCAAAATCAGAAATAGGGCCTCAGAAAGTAGCCAGTCCACTAAGTAGGTATTAATAACACGGATGTTGAAGAATGTGGGCAAAGAGGCATTGAGAGGTGCATGCCCTGGACAAAGATATTAATCAGTACAAAGCTGTTGCATATAGTGAAGTGTGGATTTAGAAAGAAGAGGAGGAAGTATCATGAGGGTAATGGAAAAAACTGCATTGGATGTAATAATATTTTTTTAATTAATAGAAACTTTTATGTATGTGCTTTTAACTTACTAGAAAAATGTTGAAATTTTTCTGATACAATTTTTTTTTAACCTTATTTCTTATTTCTACCACCATCTACTCCTTGCCTCTGGCAACTACCAATCTCTCTTCTATTTCTATGAGTTCATTGTTTTTTAGATTCCATCTGTAAGTGAGGTCATATGTTTGTCTTTCTATTTCACTTTGCATAATGCCTTCAAGGTCAATACATGGTGTTGCAAATAGCAGGATATCCATGTTTATGCCTGAATAAAATTCCTAAAACAAGGTGTATGTTTTCTTCATCCATTCATCTATCAGTGGACACTTAAATTGTTTTGTCTTGGCTACTGTAAATAATGCTGCAATGAATATGGTGGTGCAGATACCACTTTGAGATAGTATTTTCATTTCCTTCAGATAAATACCCAGAAGTGGCATTGCTGGATCATATAGTGGTTCTATTTTTAATATTTTGAGGAACCTCCATACTGTTTTCCATATTGGCTGCACCAATTTACATTTCCACCAATAGTATGTAAGGGTTCCCTTGTCTTGGTAGTGAAAAGTGGGAAGATTTAAACTTTTAAATCTTACCATGTTAAAGATAAACTTTAACACTTGTTATCTCTGTTTTCTTGATGATAGGCATCCTAAGAGGTATGAGCTAATTAATATCTGTGATTTTTACTGGTTTTCATGTGCATTTCCTGACGTTTAATGATGTGGAACACCTTTTCATATATCTGTGGTATTTATGTATCATTTTTGGAAAAATGCCTATTCAATTATTCTGTCCATTTTTTAATCAGATTTTTGTTTTGTTTTGCTTGTTTGCTATTGAGTTGTATGAATTCTTAATATATGTTGGATTTTAACCACCTAGAAGACATGATTTCCAAATATTTTCTCCCATTTCACAGTTATCTTTTCTTTTTGCTGTGCAGATCATTTCCTTTGCTGTGCAGAAGCTTTTTTGTTGGATGTAGTCTCACTTGTTTATTTTTGATCACTTATTTTATCTTCGCTTTCAGATCCAATCATTGCCAAGACCAGTAGCAAGGGGCTTACCCCTTAGGTTTTCTATCTAAGATTTTTATGGTTTCAAGCCTTACATTCAGGTCTCTAATCTACTTTGAATTCATTTTTGTGCATGGTTTAAGATAGTGGTCCAGTATTCCCAACACCATTTATTGAAGAGACTATTCTTTCTCCATTGTATGTACTTAGATCCTTTGTCATAAACTAATTGACCACATAACCATGAGTTCATTTCTGGGCTTTGTGTTGTATTCCACTGAACTGTGTGTTTGTCTTTAGGTCAGTACCATACAGTTTCAATTATTATAGCTTTGTAATATAGTTCAAAATCCAGAAGCATGATGCCTCTGTCTTTGTTCTCTTCTCAAGATTGCTTTGACTCTTCAGGATCTTTTGTGATTCTATGCAAATTTTAGGATTGCTTTTTCTACTTCTGTAATATATACCATTGGAATGTTGATAGGGATTGCTTGCAGTGAAACTGTAGACTGCTTTGAGTAATAAAGACACTTAAACAGCATTGTTTCTTTGAATCTATGAGCATGGAATGTCTTCCCATTAATTTGTATCTTCAATTTTTAAACATAGATAAATAGAACATTTCCAATATTAAGAATGTTTAGTTTCCCATATCAGGTAAAGTACCAGGAGAGGTATCCATAAATTGAAATAAATTAGGATAATTCTGGTGGAACCAGAGCATTAGTAGTTCGTTTCTGTTTGAAACATTCTTCCTCCTTTTTGAGTTCCCACTTCTTGGTGGTAAATGCCTCCAAAATACATGGGCCTACTGAAAGTTAGCAAATGCACTGTGTGCTTTTCCTTTTGCTCTAGGCTGATTTTGATAGAGCTGCAGAAGACGTGAGGAGGCTGAAAACAAAGCCAGATGATGAAGAACTGAAAGAACTCTATGGGCTCTACAAACAGTCTATAATTGGAGACATTGATATTGGTATTCTGTCATTTTAAAAGTAATAATCTACTTTATTTGAAAAATGTTTATAGAAGCATAGAGTACAAAGTAAACTTGAAAATATCTCTACCCTTCTTTTGGCAGAGTGTCCAGCAATGTTAGATTTAAGAGGCAAAGCTAAATGGGAAGCATGGAACCTCCAAAAAGGTTGTTAATTCTCAAATAAGTTAAATTTTCTTAATTTCCTAGCACATCAGTCAGTGAGGTAATTTGTTTGTATTTTTCTAGGGTTGTCAAAGGAAGATGCCATGAGTGCCTACATTTCCAAAGCAAAAGAGCTGATAGAAAAATATGGAATTTAGCATTCAGCATATGAGAAAGTCTTCCTTCTGAAGCCTTCACAATGGTATCATGACCTAACATTTAGGGTAGAAATTCACTGTTAATTCTTTATGTATCATGAATATGTTTTCTATTAACATGAATTGTAACCCTTAACTAGAGGTAGGCTGAAACTATATTTAACGAAATTTTACTCTCTAATTCCACGTGATTTTCAAAATTGTTTTAAATGGCAGTATGTGCACAAAAACATTAACAATTCTTAGGTTTTTTTGACTGATCTGTTTTTCTACAGAGTCTTACTGGTGTATAATCAAAACAGTTTATTAATAACCAATAACAAGGAGAAACTTTGTTGCACTGTGCAGCTTTGGGGTTCACCCTGATGTAGGGCCTTGACAGTCACAGGCGTACCTGTCCAGTCTGTACTCGGTGATTTATTTCCTTGGTGACCTGAGGTTGAGCCTCCTCTATAGACTAGGGAAAAAGATATCTGCCTCACAGGATTATAAGAATTGAATAAGGTAATGGTAATTCTTCAACCGTCATTTTTTTTTAGGTTGAATAACCATAGTTTAATATTATGACAGTTCGGGTTTTGGAAGAGCATCAGTTCATCCTGTATCTACAACTACAAGACTACAGATTGTTTCTGAGGTGGTATTTCAGTAGCATGTGTAGTTCTTTGATGTAGTGAAATGTCTTTTTAAAGTTGACCCTGTATGTTTTACATATTCAGAAATCAAGCTCCTGTGGGTGGACTACTTGGAATGGTTCAGTAAAAGCTATAACCTCAGTTTTCAAATCCTCAGATCTGTGACCTGTCTCATCACTGACAGTGATACTAGAAGAATCCCAATCTTCTCTGGATGTTTGTGTTGCTTTCTCTCCTACTCTTTTATAACCAAGAGAGTCTTCTGCTTCCAGGGCTCCAGGTGAGGGTATTTTCCAAGATAATCTCTTTGAGCTGCAGCTCCAGAAAAATTATCAATGTGCTGCTGTGGAAGACTCTCAGAGGAACTCTTGGTATCACAATCTAAGTCTTCATCATATGATGCAGGCCATGAACTAAGACTGCCAAGTCATCTGGAAATATTGCTTAAAGAGCCTTCTTCAGAATGCTCATTCTCTGGAGAAGACTTTCAATAATTATATCTAATACAAACTTATCTACAGCAGTCATGAGTGCTGTTCTTTTATACTTATCAAGAGCATGTGCATTTGCTCCTTGAGTTAGTAAATACTCTACCATTTGATTATATTTTTCACTTATAGCAAGCAAAAGCAGTGTGAGGTCTTCCTTGTTCTTCACCTCGATGTCTGCATTGTGTGAAAGGAGCTGTGCTGCTGTTATTAAACTCTGACAACAAGCTGACTGTGGAGAGCAGTGTTGCCATCGTGACTCACATTGGGATCGGCACCATAGTCTAGAAGAATATGTGCACATTCTCCTTGCTGGCATTGCACAGCCTTAATCAGGGGTGTTCTCTTTTGGTTGACAAAGATGTTAAGCTCACATTTCCTCTATACCAGGATATTTACCACTTCTGCATGGCCTTTGGCACAGGCCAAATATAGAGCAGTCCCAGCACCCGCACTTGGCCTCTCTCGAGGTCACTGCTTCTTTGGCATCGTGCCCACTGGGCCAGGGCTCCAGACCCAGATGCAGCCCTGCCCACAGCAATCACACAGAGGCTTCTCCCCATGCACGCGGCCAACTGGGTCAGACCAGAGGCTACCCACTCCCCGCAGTTGACTGGCACAGACAGGAGAGACTGGCAGAGTCCAGAAAGCACAAAGGGGCTTTATTCACACAGCAAACACACGCTTCTCGCCTGCAACACCCGCCAGTGCCCTAGGCCATCCCAAAGGCCGTCCCGCACATGGCAGCTCAGGGGATTAACCCAGATGCTGCCGCCTGTGCATAGTTGATGGGCACAGAAAGAGGAAGTCTGCACAAAGTCCAGGAAGCACGTAGGGACTCTGTTCTCGTGGTGAATACGTGCTGATCACCTGGAACCACCATGAGTGCCCTAGGCCATCCCAAGGGCCAACCTGCCCATGGCCGCTCAGAGGATTAACCCAGAGGCTGCTCCCTGAGTTCAGTTGACCAGCACATTCAGCAGAGGAGGGCAAGGTGACCAGCAAACAGGAAGGGACTTTGTTTTCCCAGCTGACACAAGCGCCACTTACTGGTGATCACTTCCATCACCATGAAAAGGCAGAAGAACCTTGTTCAGTGCAAAATCTCTCAAACACCAAAGAGAGGGCCTGGAGAGACCAAAATCACCAGTCTTCCTGAAAAAGAATTCAAAATAAAAGTCATAAGCATGCTGATGGAGCTACAGAGAAATATTCAAGACCTAAGGGATTAATGCCGGAAGGAGATAATAGAATCAAACAAACAATGGAAGGGTTTAAGAGCAGACTGGATGAGGTGCAAGAGACCATTAATGGAATAGAAATCACAGAACAGAAATACAGAGAAGCTGAGGCAGAGAGACATAAAAGGATCTCTAGTAATGAAAGAATATGAAGAGAACTGTGTGACAAATCCAAACGGAACAATATCTGCATTGTAGGGGTACCAGAAGAAGAAGAGAGAGAGAAAGAGGGATAGAAAGTGTCTTTGAACAAATAATTGCTGAGAAATTCCCCAATATCTGGGGAAGAAAATAGTCTCTCAAGTCACAGAAGTCCACAGATATCCCAATACAAATGACCCAAGGATTACAACCCCAAGAAATATAATTAAAATGGCAAAGATCAAAGACAAGGACAGAGTATTAAAAGCAGCCAGAGAGAGAAAAAAGATCACCTACAAAGGAAAACCCATCAGGCTATCATCAGACTTCTCAGCAGAAACTTTACAGGCCAGAAAGGAATTGCATGATATATTCAATGCAATGAAACAGAAGGCCCTTGAACCAAGAATATTGTATCTAGCAAGATTATCATTTAAATTTGAAGGAGGGATTAAACAATTCCCAGAGAAGCAAAAGTTGAGGGAATTTACCTCCCGTAAACCATTTCTACAGTGTATTTTAACGGAACCGCTCTAGATGGAAGCACTCCTAAGTCACCAGAGATAATAAAACCACAGCAAAGAAAGCAGACCAACCAAATACTAACTAAATGCAAAATAAAATCAGCTATCCACAAAATCAGTCAAAGGAAACAAAAGAGTACAGAATAAAACACCTAACATATACAGAGTAGAGGAGGAAGAAAAAGAAGGGAGAGAAATAAAGAATGATCAGACTGTGTTTATAATAGCATAATAAGTGAGTTAAGTTAGACAGTTAGATAGTAAAGAAGCTATCTTTGAACCTTTGGTAACCATGAATCCAAAGCCTGCAATGGAAATAAGTACTTACCTATCGATAATCACCCTAAATGTAAATGAATGGAATGTACCAATCAAGACACAGAGTTACAGAATGGATAAAAAAGCAAGACCCAACTATATGCTGCCTACAAGAGACTCATCTCAAACCCAAAGACATACACAGAATAAAAGTGAAGGGATGGAAAAATATACTTCATGCAAACAATAGAGAGAAAAGAGCAGGTGTTACAGTACTTGTATCAGACAAAATAGACTTCAAAACAAAGAAGGACATTACATAATGATAAAGGGGTCAGACCAACAAGAGGATATAACCATTATAAATATCTATGCAGCCAACACTGGAGCACCTATATATGTGAAACAAATATTAACAGAATTAAAGGGGGAAATAGAATGCAATGTATTCATTTTAGGAGACTTCAACACACCACTTACTCCAAAGGACAGATCAACGAGACAAAAAAATAAGTAATGAGACAGAGGCACTGAAAAACACACTAAAACAGATGGACCTAACAGACATCTACAGAACTCTACACCCAAAAGCAGCAGGATACACATTCTTCTCAAGTTCACATGGAACATTTTCCAGAATACACCACATACTTGGCCACAAAAAGAGCCTCACTCAGTAAATTCCAAAAGATTGAAATTGTACCAACCAACTTCTCAGACCACAAAGGTATAAAATTAGAGATAAATAGTACAAAGAAAACAAAATGGTTCACAAACACATAGAGGCTTAACAACATGCTCCTAAATAGTCAATGGATCAATGACCAAATTAAAGCAGAGATCAAGCAATATATGGAGACAAATGAAAACAACAGCATAATGCCCCAACTTCTGCGGGATGCAGTGAAGGCAGGTCTAAGAGGAAATATATGGCAATCTAGGCCTATTTAAAGAAGGAAGAACAATCCCAAATGAATAGTCTAAATTCACAATTATTGAAACAGGAAAAAGAAGAACAAATGAGGCCCAAAGTCAGCAGAAGGAGTGACATAATAAGATCAGAGAAGAAATAAGCAAAATTGAGAAGAATAAAACAATAGAAAAAAGTCAATGAAACCAAGAGCTGGTTCTTTGAGAAAATAAAAAAATAGATAAACCCCTAGCCAGACTTATTAAGAGAAAAAGAGAATCTACACACATAAACAGAATCAGAAATGAGAAAGGAAAAAGCATGACAGACACCACAGAAATACAAAAAATTATTAGAGAATACTATGAGAATCTATATGCTAACAAACTGGATAACCAAGAAGAAATGGACACTTTCTAGAAAAATAGAACTTTCCAAGACTGACCAAGGAAGAATCAGAAAATCTAAACAGACCAATTACCAGCAATGAAATTGAATCAGCAATCAAAAAACCATCCAAGAACAAAACCCCTGGACAAGATGGATTCACCGCTGAATTTTATCACACATTTACAGAAGACATAATACCCATTCTCCTTAAAGTTTTCCAACAAATAGAAGAGGAGGGAATACTTCCAAACTCATTCTATGAAGCCAGCATCACTTTAATACCAAAACCAGGCAAAGAGACCACAAAAAAAGAAAATTGCAGACCAATATCCCTGATGAACATAGATGCAAAAATACTCAACAAAATACTAGCAAACTGAATTCAAAAATACATCAAGAGGATCATACACCATAATCAAGTGGGATTCATCTCAGGGATGCATTTGAAAAACCCAGCAACATCATCCACCACATCAACAAAAAGAATGACAAAAACCACATGATCATCTCCATAGATGCTGAAAAAGCATTCAACAAAATTTAACATCCATTCATGATGAAAACTCTCAACAAAATGGGTATAGAGGGCAAGTACCTAAACACAATAAAGGCATTATTTGACAAACCCAGAGCCAACATCATACTTAACAGCGAGAAGCTGAAAGCTTTTCCCCTAAGATTGGGAACAAGACAAGTCTGCCCACTCACCCCACTTCTTTTCAACATAGTTCTGGAGGTCCTTGCCATGGCAATCAGACAACACAAAGAAATAAAGGCCTCATACTGGTAAGGAAGACACTAAACTGTCACTATTTGCAGATGACATGATATTGTACATAAAAACCCTAAAGGATCCACTCCAAAACTACTACAACTAACATCTGAATTCAGCAAAGTTGCAGGATACAAAATCAATACACAGAAATCTGTTGCATTCCTATACACTAAATACACTAATGATGAACTAGCAGAAAGAGAAATCAGGAACACAATTCCATTCACAATTGCATCAAATAGAATAAAATACCTATGAATAAACCTAATCAAGGAAGTGAAATACCTATGCTATGTAAACTACAAGACACTCTTAAGAGAAATTAAAGAGGACACTAATAAATGGAAATTCATCCCATGCTCTTGGCTAGGAGGAATTAATATTGTCAAAATGGCCATCCTGCGTAAAGCAATCTACACATTCAATGCAATCCCTACCAAAATACCAATAGCATTCTTCAACAAACTGGAACAAATTGTTCTAAAATTCATATGGAACCATAAGAGACCCTGAATAGCCAAAGCAATCCTGAGAAGGAAGAATAAAGCAGGGGAATCATGCTCCCTGACTTCAAGCTCTACTACAAAGCCGCAGTAATCCAGACAATTTGGTACTGGCACAAGAACAGACCCATAGACCAGTGGAGCAGAATTGAGAGTCCAGATATTAACCCAAGCATATACGGTCAATTACTATACGATAAAGTAGCCATGGACATACAATGGGGAAATGACAGCCTCTTCAACAGCTGGTGTTGGCAAAACTGGACAGCTACATGTAAGAGAATGAAACTGGGTTATTGTCTAATCCCATACACAAAAGTAAACTCAAAATGGATCAAATACCTGAATATAAGTCATGAAACCACAAAACTCTTAGAAAAAAACGTAGGCAAAAATCTCTTGAACATAAACATGAGCAACTTTCTTCATGAACCAATCTCCCCGGGCAAGAGAAACAAAAGCAAAAATGAACAAGTGGGACTATATCAAACTAAAAACTTCTGTTAAACAAAGGACACCATCAGTAGAACAAAAAGGCATTCTACAGTATGGGAGAATATATTCATAAATGACATATCCAATAAAGGGTTCACATCCAAAATATATAAAAAGCTTATGCACCTCAACAAACTAAAAGCAAACAATCCATTTAAAATATGGGCAGAGGATCTGAACAGACACTTATGGCCAACAAGCACATGAAAAGATGCTCCACATCGTTAATCATCAGAGAAATGCAAATTAAAACCATAATGAGATATCACCTCACACCAGTTAGTAGGATAACCACCATCCAAAAAACAACAAGAAATGTTGGTGAATATGGAGAAAGGGGAACCCTCCTACACTGCTGGTGGGAATATAAATTAGTTCAACCATTGTGGAAAGCAGTATGGAGGTTCCTCAAAAAACCAAAAATCGAAATACCATTTGACCCAAGAATTGCACTTGTACGGATTTATCCTAAGAATGCATGAGCCCAGTTTGAAAAAGACATATGCACCCCTATGTTTATTGCAGCACTATTTACAATAGCCAAGAAATGGAAGCAACCTAAGTGTCCATCAGTACATGAATGGGTAAAGAAGATATGGTACATATACACAATGGAATATTACTCAGCCATAAGAAGAAAACAAATCTTACTATTTGCAACAACATGGATGGAGCTAGAGGGTATTATGCTCAGTCAGATAAGCCAGGCAGAGTATGACAAGTATCAAATGATTTCACTCATCTGTGGAGTATAAGAGCAAAACAAAAACTGAAGGAACAAAACAGCAGCAGAATCACAGAATCCAAGAATGGACTAACAGTTACCAAAGGGAAAGGGACTGGGGAGGATGGTTGTGACAGGAGGGATAAGGGGGAAAAGGGCATTATGATTAGCACCCATAATGTAGGGGGCACGGGAGGGCAATATAACACAGAGAAAACAAGTATTGATTCTATTGCAGCTTACTACGCTGATGGATAGTGAATGTAATGGGGTATGTGGTGGAGACTTGATAATGGGGGTAGTCTAGTAAGTATAATGTTGCTCATGTGATTGTACATTAATGATACCAAAATAAAAGAAAAAAATAGGCAAGCATCAGTAGTTGTAGATATTTGGTTATGTAGTTCTAAGGTCTCATGAAAGTTTCCATAAAATGAAAGTGATTTCATGGAAGCATATGAATATCAAACTTCCACGGGTTACATTTTTTCATGCTAAGAATAAAATTATAACAAATGGCACTGCACAACAACAAAAGATTCACTCTCAGGTTAACTTACTTTTCTAAGTCCTAACACCAGTGGTAGATTTACCTCCACAGACTTAGGTTCTGGCAGTGCTGTATTTTTAATTTCTCTAAGACCTATCAGGATCCAGGTATTACCTGCATCTCCCATTTTACACACAACCAGCATCTTCATTTACCTGAAATAAAACTTCGGCCAATTTTCTCCTCATTGCCTTCTTCCCGTTTTGCTATTTCTAGCAATAGAAACATTTTTACCAGTGGTCCTCTCATAGGTCCTTTGTCCCCCTCCAGCCATTCCCCACACTACCCAGAGGGATAACAGTCAAGTTTGGTCACGAGGCAACTTAAATCCATTTGGTGACTGTTACTCATGGGACCAGAGTCCTTTACGGGGTATGGCTTGGCCCTGACCTACCTCTTCTGCCTCAGTTTGTCGCGGTTTCCCCTTTCCTCTCTGAATGCTCGCCATTAGTTTGCACTCCTTCTATCCCTTCCTCCCCTGCTGCCTCTCTCCCCTCTGCCGAAGGCTGTCCTGTCTGTTCAGATCTCAGAGCCGACTCCATTTCCCGCAAGAGATCCTGTTTGACGCTCCCCCAACCCATCCAGTGTTCTCAGATCACCCTAAACTTGGTAGCACTTAATCTCTCTCTAGTCATCTGATTACTTCCTTAATGTCTATCTGGGAGCTGCAGGGTAAAGGGATGTTTTCATCCATGTGTCCTCAGGGGCTGACACAGCACCAGCCCCCAGCTCAGTAAATGTTTGTTGCTGTCATAATTAGATTGAAAATAGGTGTAACTAATTCATGGTCCTGCTTGTGTCAGTCTGCTTTTGTTCTGTGTAGAGCAACCCTCTGTTGACTCTGGAGAGCTGGGACCTGAGGGGTGGTTGTCTCTGGGAATGATGGTTAAAGGCACTTGTAACCAGCCTCACCCTGAGTTGGACTAGGTGCCCAGGGGCCATCCTGCCGCCACTTATATTGTTCCATAAGTAAGATGACCTTGAAAAATGGCCTGGACCAGTGAGTCTCAGAGAGGTACTGACAGAAGTACCCCTGATAAAGGTCTCATGGAAGGTTCAAAACTTCTTAAACTTAGCTGGTTTTGCAAACTAGAAATCAAATTCCAAGAAGAAACAGGCCCCTGAGGACAGGAAGGACAGAAGAAATGTGCTCAAATCCAGGTGTAAAAAATATTTACCTCAGCACCTGTTTTATGCATGATATCTGGCTTTCAACCCAAAAAGTCATTAGACACAAAAGCAAGAAATAACTCCACCGACAAGGGGCAATGAAATCAAAAGAATCAGATAAGGCACAGGTTGAAACTATCAGACAGGGACTTCACAATAACCATGACAGAGTGGGGTTAGACTTCAGAGACGGGAAGACTCAAAGTCCAGTGGAGATTCAGGCGTAAGCAACAGCGACAGTGAGGAATTCCTTGGATAGGCTCACCAGTAGACTCCGCACAGCTGGTGAAGCAATCAGTGACCCTGAAGATGGGTCAATAGAAATTACCCAGACTGAAGGGCAAAAACAAGACGGATGTGGGAGAGGCTGGGACAGTATCAAACAGCCCAGAGCGGGAGCCAGGGTCCCGGGAGAGAAGAGGGCAGCACGTGGTCCTGCAGGTGGGGCCGGCGGCCGGGCCCGTGCTTGGGAACAGCCCCGCTTCCCCGCCTGCCACAGATTGCCATTTTGCCTCCAGGATCCAGCCTCGCTGGTAGGTGGTGGGAAGGAAGCGGACTGAGAGGTCCTGGCGGCAAGATTTTATCACACTGGGAAAAGCTGGGAGCCAAGCAGGGGCAGAGAGGGAGGCAGTATTCGAGAGGCTGTCCGGAGTTTGAAGAGAGGAAGCTGGTGGCTGTGGGCGCCGCTGCGATTGGGTTCACGGGGGGACTCTGAAGGTTTCCCAAGTTCTGTCAGTGGTTTTTCTTTTACTGTTGGTTTGGGGAGGTTTCCTTTGAGAACTGCTGAGCGCTTAGCCAAGCCCCTCCGCAGCCTTGCGGGGCCTCCCGGCCTCCCGAGCTCACAGGCCTGGCGGCAGCCGGAATCCCCAAAAAGGGAGAGCTCCCGCCGCGCGGTGGGGGGCAGCCTCCTGCCGCCGGAGCCTCCACGCTGGACGGCCCTAAGGTAGGCGCCCGGGAGCTTCCGGGGCCGGCTTTTTGGTGTCGCGATCCCCCCGCCCCCGACGCCGCGCGACCGCCGGCCTCCACCTCCGCGCCGCCCCGCCTCCGGCTGAGTACCGAGTCGCCTGTTTCAATTTTTCTGGTGGTCTCATCCCACACCCCTGGGCTCTCCTGAACAAATGTTAACCTAAATTCACGGCCAGACCCTTCGGTAGTGAATTTTTTGTTGTGTTCTGTTTTTAAAAACTGCTGGTGGTTTGTTTTCTGCCAAACTGCGCAGCACGACCTCCTGGCTGGCTCACCACACCACCTGGAGGCAGTTAGCATCCTCCCTCCGCTGTCAGGTGAGACAGTAACTGTGGAGGACGCTGCCCCGGAGTCCCCAGCCAGAGGCCTGTAGGCAGAGGGTTTCCACCCTGGTGAGCGGAGTCTGTGGGCTGCACGTTTAACCGCTGCGCAAGGCTTAGCTAAGAAAAACCAGCTTTGCACACATTGCACACGCTGTGTGCACACAGCGATGAGGACTATTCCATTTTTGGGGGTGGCGGCAGGCTGGTGTTTCGTTGATTCTAGCTCTTTGCACAGCCAGCAACACAGGCAGCTTATCCCTGTGACAGTCACACTTGGGCGAAGACGGAAGATGGAGAGAGGTGGGTGGACGCCGGCAGCCGGGAAAGGGGTGGTGGGCCGCGGGGCGGGGCGGGGCAGAGATGCAAGGGATGGTCTTAGTTGTCAAGCCGCTTCAAGGCTGTTCTGCTTTGGGTAGCTGTTGGTATCAGCTTTGTCCACCGAGAAATGAAGCAACCATCCTGATCAGGTTAAACAGTTTCATTGAGGGTTTATCAGGACTGCAGCCTGGGAGACAGAGATTCAGGATGCCTTTGAGTTGTGTTCCACCAGATCACAAAATGGAGGAGGCTTGTTAAAGCCAAGAATCACAAAGTTAAGGAAAATCACATAGGTTGTTAAAAATGGTGCCGACAAAGGTGAAGGCTCTTATTAAGTAAGGATTTGTAGGGGGAGATCTTAGATCCACAAGGTTACGGTATGCAGCTGGTATTTTGAAAAAATAGAGGAGTGCAGTCAGCAGATTATTTGGGGCCACAAGACATAGTGGTTTAGAATAGTGTAAAAGTTCAGGTTCACACTGGAGTGAGGATGTGTTAGCCCCAGTTGAACAGTGTCTGCACGACTCCAATTTGATGATCTGACAAATGTGACTCTGTCTTGATTTCTAAAAAAATTTTTTAAAAACATGTTTACAACTTGCAGTCCCTGGTGGCCCTACACAGTTTCAGGCTTTGTGGAGGAAATAAAGGAAGCATAGGCCAAAGCACACTAATGCTTAATGCATTTGTAATAAAATTTTTAAGAAGGGAGGGGGGAGGAGGGGGATAACGAGGCACAATAATTCGCAATCACAGTATAAGTTGGTCACAGGGCTGTAGTACAGCATGGAGAATATAGCCAGTGATTCTGTAACATCTTCCTATGTTGACAGATAATAACCACACTAGAGAGGGTGAGGATTTAATAAGATGGGTAACTGGTGAACCACTGTGTTGTACATTTGAAACCAACATAAGATTATATATCAATGATACTTCAATTAAAAAAAAATGTTCACTAGTAATGCCAGTGTCATAATGCCACCAAATGTCACCAGGTCAGCCAGGGCCTTTTTCCAAGTGGGGAGGGGCAGGAGGTTGGGCTGCACAGCAGCGGCAGTGGCTTTAAAGGCCAGGATGCTTCTGAAATGCCGACCTGGCCCCTTTGGAGGTTTCAAGGATTCTTTCCTGTGCTGAATTTACCAGCTGCCTCCGAATGAAAGGAAAATCACTTACTGTCACTGTTAGCTCAAACTTGCCAGGGACACCACAGGCACTGGCCTGGCAGTGGTTAAAGCACATTTTGAGGAAAGGGGAGACAGGAAATGGATAGAAATTTAGGGTCTTGTCATTAGCCAGTAGCGTCCCTGCCATGTCCCCATGCTGGGCCACAATTCACCAGATAGGAAATAATGACTTCATTTCTCCTTCCTCTTCCCTCCTCTCTACCCCCATCCCTAAGGAAAATGAAATTGCTTACATGGGGAGTTGTATTTGACACAAAGAAATGCATTGGTTCTACCCTACGCCTTCTTTTAGGGGTAGTGCAGCCATAAAAGCCATTGAGGGTCCCATTCTCAATTTGGGAAAGAAAACATAATAACTGTTCAGCAAAACTCACGATAATGCAAAGTCGATTAAGAACAAGTACCATAAATACAGCAATGATCAGGAAATAGTAAAAAAAAAAAAGCAAAGCCAAAGTTCATTGCATAATCTCATGTGTTTGTAAAAGGTACTTTCAATGATGTATATCAGCATGAAAAGTGTTTCAGGGCATCCTAAATAATTCACTGAGATTTGGTCCTGATTTCCACATGTCTTAAAATGAATTTAAATCTTCTTTCCTCCCTTTAAAGATACATACCACTGTGTTTTTGGTTAATATATATCAGCAGTTCTCAAAATATGGTCTGGGGACTCTGGGAATTTCTGAGACCTTTTCAGGTGGTCTGCGAGGCTAAACCTATTTTTAGGATAATACTAAAATATTTGCCTTTTTTTCATTTCCCTGGTGTTTAGTGACGTCAAGCACCTCTTGACATATCTGTTGGCCATTTGTCCGTCTTCTTTGGGAAAAATCTCTATTCAGGTCCTTTGCCTATTTGTAAATTGGATTGTTTGGGGGTGTTTTGCTATTTAGATGCAAAGTTCTTATGTAGTGTGAATATTAACTCCTTATTGGATGTGTGGTTGGAAAATACTTTCTCCCATTTGGTAGGCTGCCTCATCATTTTGTTGTTTCTTTTGCTGAAAGGAGCTCTTTGTTTGATGTAGTCCCACTCATTTATTTTGCATTTGTAGCTTGTGCTTTAGATGTCATGTCCAAAAAATGACCACCAAGACCAATGTCAAGGACTTTTTTCTCTATGTTTTTTTCTAGGACTTTAATTATTTCAGGTCTTATGTTTAAGTCTTTAATACATTTTGCGTTAATTTTTGTGAGTAGTTGTCTTGCCAATGGGTTTCAGCCCGAGGCAAGTTCGTTATGGATTCAATGTGACCAAAGAAATTGACAGCAGAACGTTCTTTGGGGTGAAAGGGTTTATTACCCGGCTTGTTCTCTGGTGGCAGGTCGAGCACTAGCGTCTCTGCCTCTGCTCAGAGCACTGGGCTGAGCTCTCTATATAGCACAATAATGGCTTATTGCCTAAAGGTGTGGAAGCGGTAGCCTAGCAATAGGCCAGTTACATCATCAGGTGGTTTAAGTTCAGTGAGCATCCTGGCCATAGGAACCCAACTTCCCCACAGTAGTGTAAGACAGAGGTCTAGTTTCATTCTTATGCATGTGAATATCCAGTTTTCCCAGCACCATTTATTGAAAAGACTGTCTTTTGTCCATTGAGTGTTCTTGTCTCACTTGTCAAATATTAGTTGACTGTTATGCATGGGTTTATTTTTGTGCTTTTGATTCTGTTCCACTTGTTTATGTGCCTGATTTATGACAGTGCCATATGCCATATGCCAGTGTCTTGATTATTATAAATAAGTTCTGGGGATGTAATGTACAACCTGGTGGCTATAGATAACAATACTGTCTGTATCCTTCAAAGTTGCTAAGGGTAGCTCTTACAAGTTATCACAAAATTGTCACTATGTGAGGTGATGGATGTTAACTAAACTTACTGTGGTAATCATTTGCAATATATAAATATATCAAATTATGTTCACCTTAAACTTACACAATGTTATATGTCAAATATATCCAATAAAACGAGAAAATCAGAATAATTTCGTGCATTGATTGGCAGAAAATCAAAAAGTTTTGCAATAGCTATATTGTCAAGGATACAGAGCAGTAAGAATTCTCATAGATTGCTTTGGCAGTATAAATCCTTGCAATTCCTTTGGGCAACAATTTAGCAACATTTCATATAGTTGAAGACATTCATACCTATATACCTCCCAGAAATTCCACTCCTAGATGTAGACTTTCTTACATTCATGCAAGAAGACATATATAAGATTGCTAACAGAAGCATTATTAATAGTGGCAAAAAAATGAAAATGACCTTAATGCCTGTAAAATAACAGATATATAAATTGTGTTATAGCCACACAATGGAATACTATAAAATAACTAAAAATCAATGAAGTAGAGAGATACACATATCCACATATCTCAAAAAAAAAATTGTGGAGAAGTAAAACAAGTTTCAGAGGAATGTTTATAATATGATAAGTTTATATAAAGTTAGAAGTATGTGAAATGATACTATATTTTGCTTTCAGTATTTGAAGAGACATGGGGAGAGCGTGGATGCAGTTGGAGAGAGGGCACATGGAAACTGTATTCAATTATGTTTTATTCTTTAAGGGGATCAAGGGAATGGTTGAGTTTGCAGTATTATTCTTATTCATTTTATGTATCAGCTATTTTAAAATGTGTTTAAAGTAGCAACTTTTAATTGTCTACATTGAACTATCAGCTGTTGATGAAAAATTCCATATGAATGTACTTCCAGTAGTTTCTAAAAATATGTTTATGCATTAATGACAGGGCTCTCTTCAAAGAATGGGTCTTTCCCTTTCCTTACCTCCTTCCTGCTATCACAGTACTGGTGACAGAGAGTAAAAAAGAAACAGTTTGGAAACATGAAGGGACAGAGAGGTGTAGTGTTGGGAGGGCATTTCCAGGGGAGAGAAAGGCAGCTTGGAATGGGAAAATGCCTTTGGAGTTCTGACAGCAGAAATAAAGATAGAAGGGCTGAAGGTAAGAGACATAATAATACCAGAGAATTAGAATACCGAATTCCCAACCATACAAACAAGCTGCCTTGTACTTTTTTAAACTGCACTTCACTGTAGCAGCAGAAAAGGGAACTTTTGAACCAAGAAACAGTAAGCAATCAAAACACCTCTGTCCTAGTAGAGTAACTTGTTATTGGTGGTCAGGAAACCCAGAACATTTCATCACAAACAGAAATAAGCATATCAAACAATACAGAGTATATAAAGCAAACTTTTTCAGCTAATGAGAATTGCTTTTTAAAGAACAAAGAAGAAGAATAGTTCATATAACATTCCAACATGCATTAAATTTAATTAAATAAGAAATTGCAGAAATGAAAGGACACTGTAATGCATAAATTTGAAATTCTGAACCAGAACAAACAGTTGCCTAAAGAACAGACAGAGTACTGGAAAGAAATGGAATAAAAAGACAAAAACTATTTCAAAACTGACTAAAACAAAGTTATCTAGGAGATAATGCAAAATATTTAAGTAGGGGCAGTAGACAGGAATAAAAGAGCTAAGAAAAAGAAAACAAAGAGGGATGAGACCCCAAAAAAAAGTAATAAACATAAAAGACAGAAAAAGTTCCAATGTATAAGAATAAATGGAGATCCTCAATAAAACAAAACAAAACACTCAGAAAGTACTGATACTTGAATTTATAATCCAGGCACACTTCCCTGAGATAAAATGACACTATGAGTGGAAAAAACCTATCATATACTTGGGCAAATTGACCCATACTAGTCAAGTTAAAATATTAGAATTTGAAGATTAAAAAAAATTAGAGACATCAGGACCTCCAGACACATTAACAGGTCATTCATGAAGGAAAGCAAATCAGGTATTAGACTTTCTGATAAGAAAATATGAGGCAGGAAAACAGTTAACAAAAATTTCAAGAGACTTAGGGAAAGTGGCTACAGTAATAATTTATCTCCAGTATCAAAGTAGTCGAATGGATGCAAGAGCTTAGGAAATACTGTAGTCGTGAGTCCTGCTTCAGGAATCTGCTAAATCAGGAGTCAACAATCTACAGCCCCACTTGTCAAACAGCTGCCACCTGTTTTTTGTAAATAAAGTTTTACTGGGACAGAGCCATGCTCAGTTTGCATGTATTGTCTGTGGCTGATTATTTGCAACAATGGCAAAACTGAATCATTGCAACAAAGACTGTATGACCCGCAAAGCTGAAAATATTTACTGTTTGGCCCTTTACATGAAAAGTTTGCCAATTCCTGTACTAGAAGCTGAACTTCATCCAATCAAGACATGATTACGTGAAATTTGGCAAAAGCAGTGGTAGTGAGCTTTGAATATTTTGAATATTTTAATTGTGGTTCTAAGATTGAAAAAAAAAGGTAGAGATAAGGGTGGAAGATGATTATGTAAATGTATGTTCTGATAGTAGATATAATACAATTTGTTTTTAAAATAGAAAAGGAAGAAAAAGGATAATAGAATAAATTCATTGACTTTGTATAAATAATACGTGTGTGTCTGAGGATATTAAGCCTGTAAAGCCAAAGAGTAGAAGCCTAATTAAAAATAAGAGGACTAAGGAAATTGTATAAAGTATGAAGATAACTGCTAGAGACAAAATTACAAACTTTCCTTAGTAACAAAAGATATAAAAAAAAGAGAAAAAACTGTTCTACTACATAGTAAACTACACAGTAAATATGACAAAGAATAATATGACTGAGCAGAGACCAAACGTATCTGTCTTAACAATAAATGTAAATGGGCTTAATTCACCTATCCAAAGGAAAAGATCTTTAGATTGCCACACACAAAAAAGCAAATTCTATGCTATATGCAAGAGACACACCTGAAATGAAGGGATTCAGAGGGATGGGAAAGATACCCCAGGCAACTGGAAACAAAAATAAAGAAGGTTTGTAATTTCAGTATCTGGTAAAGTAGAATTTGGAGACAAAAGCATTAGGTAATATAGCAAGAAGGACACTTTTAAAGGTCATGATTCTCAGTGAATATGTAGTAGTTATTGAATAACTATTCACCAAATAACACAGCAGCCACTTTATAAAGGATAAAATACAGGAGATGCAAGGAGAAATGGAATGAAATGCACTATTGAGAGAATTCACACACCACACACTACTATAGTTAAAGGGCAGTCAAGTGGATGAGAAAAGTAAACATAATCAATGAGGTAGATCTTATGGGTATATATTGAACTTTGCACTCTGAAATAGAGAATGTGCAGTCATGGAACATTCATAAAGATTGATCATATGTTAAGGGCACAAAGAAAACTGCTATAAGTTCTGCACATTAAAAATAAAACCACCACCAGTCTCTGCAAACAAAGCAATATAACTAAAAATCATAAAAGAAATGGCAATACATTTTTAAAAGCCCCTCTAATTTTTAAGAAAATTCTCTGTTAACTCTTGGATCAAAAGGGAAATACAAAAACAATTTACTGAAATTTTAAAAATGATTTTTAAATTTTACTGTATGTCAGAATCTGTGAGGTACTGTATTCACAGGCTCCAGGGATAAGGATGTGGATGTTTTGGGGAGCAATTTTTCTATCACAGTTGGTTTAAAAAAAAAAGCATTATCTGATTCAGAAGATCTGTTATGCTCAGCGAGTAGGGGTTTACCAATTCTGGGTGAACATAGAAATCGTGACCGGAGAGGCACAGATAAATGAAGTGCAGGTGATGAATAAGATGACCTCAGCAATGCTGGGAAAGGCATATAAGAGTTTTGCCAGTCTGTCTTCTCTAATATGTTTGTTCACAAAGAAAACCTGAATAAGTACAAGTTTGAGTTGGGGAAACAAATGGATCTTCGTGTTGCAGATAGTTCTGGAAAGCAGAAGCTGAAGTTGAATGAGTTCATGGATGCAAGCCCCCATCCAACAGTCTGTTTAAAGGTCACAGCTCATATATGATAACAAATAAAAACCTTATCAGTGAAAAAATATTTAAAATAAAAAGGACATCTTTCATCTATTCAATCTCCAAGCACTCAAGACTCACTAATTTGGTGGAACTTATTAAGTCTTACAGGTTAATGATCAGCTCCTCATAAGCACTCAGGCTGTTTCTCCAGTGATTCCAGGCAGCAGGGGACCTAAGTTGGCTGTATGGGGAACCCAGAAACTGGCCCCAGGACAGGACTGTAAGTACAAGGAGGTGATTCAGGAAAGAAGCCCTGGTGTAGGGTAAGTGACCAGGAAGGGAGGCAACCAGCAGCATGTGTTTTCCAGGCAGATCCTGCTCGTGGTGACAGGCTTAATCCCTCTCGGGGAACGCTGGGTGCCAGTGTACAGCGCACACCTCAGCTGGATTCCTCCTGAGGCACCTCCTCCCCATCAGTTATTGGCTGAGGGCTGCTCCCAGGGGCCAGCATCCATTGGCACTTCCAGGCTACTCAGCAAGAGACAGACTCCAGAGGCAGGAGAAAGCCACCGGGCCACAAAATGCAGATCTGTGAGTTGGAAGCGATGGTTGTGTACAGTAGTAAAGGCTGGGGGCTGGAGGCCCGAGCACTAACCGGTGTGTACCTAGCCTAATCCCTGGGATGGTTCCAAATGGGGCTATTTCCACCTGTGCACTGTGGTTTCCTGCCACAGCTGAAAGAGCAGGAAGAACAGGACCAAGTCAGTACAACCTTAATGCCTCTGTAGTTATGTTGTAGAAGAAAACAGAATGCGAACAGATGCCAAGTTTCATAGCTTTTGTGTTTCAGAACGTTCCAGTGAAGTCTGCATTTTGAATTATTCTGTAAAATGACAAACATTCACAGGATGTGGAATGAAATAGATCTTAAAAGATAATGTGAGTAATTCAAAGAACAGAGGCTAGTAAGCATAGATTTTCACTTTGTGGACTTCTTTGTCATCACACTCCCTCTGCCTGTTGTAGTAATAGAAAGTGTTGTCCCTTCTCTGGAGTTTCTTCACATATCCTGTCTCTGGCCAACGGTCGACCTGCACATCAGAAACCAGAATACAAATACTGTAACGTTGGGCTTTTTTATGTGTTTTTCTATCAAATAGTTAACCATATAATTCACACCAAAAAACTGAAGTATAAAAATTAAATTTAAAAATACTTGAGATCTTAGTATTTATACCAAATGCTCTCTGACTTGCATCCTTATACCGTGAAACAACTCAGTGCTTCTGTCTAGATCCCAACTTCTAGATTCAAATTTCTACTCAGTGGCCAAGGAAGAGGAAACATTCAATGTTTACAAATGACTTCAAACATGATGACTTTCTAGCTTCTGGAAGCAATCCCTGTGGAGGAGATGAGGGCCTGCCCAGGCCCCGCTCTGCAGCCCCTGGTGCACTGCAGTTGGTGTTGCAGCCGTGACGTGACTAAAGGAAGCAGCTAGAGCTGAGCTCCCTGAAGGTCACGTGTATTTCTCATGCCCACAGTTCAATGTCACTTTGACACTCAATTTTTAATAGAAATTGGACATCATGAACTGTCTTGTCCTACTTCCCCCACTATTCTTTCTTGTATGTTGCATTGGTTTGCTTCCTTTATCGTCTGGCTTGGATATTTTTCTCTCCCTCCTCTTCAAACTCATGTTCTGCCTGCTTGATCAGTCAGTGCATTTCTGTGGTAGACACTTTCTTTCTGGATTTTGTGAGATGTACTTTACTATTGTCAAAATCTCATGTTCAGATTTCAATGTCTAGAAAATTACGTCCTGTCTTTCTGCACCATCTATACTGGCAGTGTCCCTTCTCATATTCCCCGCTTACCAATCACTGAGTCAGAATAGGAACACACCATGAATGCAAAGGAATATATGCTCCTTATTTTCTAACAGCATATTTCCTGTTGTCTCATGCATTCAAGAATTAGCAAAAATAGGTGGCAGCATATCTGTTAAACCTTGGCAGGCTCTCTGGCACATACAGTTGAGAAAAAGCAAGCCTTCCAATGGCTTAGGCCAGGCTTGCCTTTCAGAGCTTCCTCAGCAGAGCAAGGAAGCTGTTCTCAAGCCCCATCACTGCTCTCCTCCTTTGGGGCCGGTAGCAGGCACTTCCTTATTTATGGGATCCCCAAAGCTGCCTCCTTCAGTGAAGAAACAAAACAACTGCTGCTTCCTCAGAACAGCCACAGCAGCTTTGGGATGCTCCTGGGCTCATCAACCTGTCGTTTTTCTTGTTAGACCCCTTTGTGATTTTTAAATGTTTTCATCTTGGCTTTTTAACTGCTCACTCCCATTCCATCTACGACACGTTCATTCCGTAGACTATGGTGGACGGAGCGGTCTGGCTCTCAGATCCAGCTCTGCTCAGGCAGGAAGGTCAGCGAGCACGAATAGCACCCAGTGCCTCAGGTGAGGCAAAGGAGTTTGGCTCAAACCCTCAGACCACTCTACGCCCGTAGGGATGTGCCCATTGAGGCGGCCTTCAGTCAGCATCCTGTCCATCCCTTCAGGCCCGCTGCAAATGCCTCCAGACATGAAGTCTGTTCGGAGGCTTGTCCCCCAAAGGAAGGTATTTTGTCTTCTCTAAATCCCTGTGCTGCTTTTTGTACTACTCCCACTGCCCCACTGATTCTTGAGGTGAGGCCATCGCTTATATTTTTATCTCCTACAGCTCTTGGCACAGAAATGTACACGTGGCAGTGATGGGGTCCAGGGGAAGCTGCCCCAGGAGATGCCACTTCATTCAGTACGTTGATTGTTCTGGATTAAAGTTAGGTAAGAAACAGCTGGTCAGGAAGGACAGTCTGACCCGCCTTTCTTTCCCCCTGAAGACAGGAAATAAATCTCCCTGTGAAAAGTACCCCGGCCCCCACCCCAGGATGAAGAGACGCCCTTGTCGCCGGACAGGGGGCGCTCAGGGCCAGGCAGGATGAGCCAACAGACTCTCCTTGGTTTCTTTGCTGATTAGCACTCAAGCCGAAATTTCTTTGTCTTGTCAGTTCCTCACAAATTTATTGCTTCTTTGTTTAAAGGATATATAAATAGCCTGGCTTGGTCACATTTTGGCTTTCATATCTTTGGGGGCCTCATAAGTATGAAATTAATATTTTTTCTCCTGTTAATCAGTCTTGCCAATTTAATTATTGGACCAGCCAAAAGAACCAAGAAGTGTAGGGGACGTTTTCCTTCCCCAGCAGTTTGTGCCCAGTAAATGTTTCCATGCTGATGGACCACCTCTTTCTCTATCTGCCTGAAAACCACTACTCTGGGTCTCAGTCTCATCAATAAAGTGAGAGAGTTGGAGGTGAATCCCTTTCAGTTTTTCTCGTATTATTTTAATTCTTTGCACCATCTAACAAATTCATTTTGAGCTCAGGTTTGTAGAGGAATAAATCTTACCATAGAGACTTGTTTCACTTGTTTATATTCAATTTCATCCCGATATCCTGCTTGTTGAAATCTGTACAGGTTTTCTATCTCTTCTGACCATTTTTTGGCACGACTTACTGATTTTGGTTTCACGTCAGAACTAGCCATGGCTACAGAGGTCTTATTACCAATTATTTCTGAAAGATGTTAAAACAACATTAACAGTTAATAGTGGCAATTGTGAAAATCCCTTTTAGAGTGAACAAAAATTCGCATTAAAAAAATGAGAGTTGCGAATACCACTAAATATATTAAATTTTAAACATTCAGCTCCAAGACTGAGATTCATGCTTTATTTTAGAAATACAATAAAATAAACTAAACCCTGAAAAATACATAGAGACCTGTTTATTTCTGCATCAAATAAAATTGCATTCAGAATTGTGGAGTGATATCCTAAAGGCTATATATTACTTCTGACGTTCCAAGCAATAGGGTGCACATTTCTGAATGATTGCTCTTGTTTTTAGCTGCTCAGTAGATTGTCAAAATATCCCACCACCATTCTATTTGATTATAGTCGAAAATGCATTCCTCTCCCAACTTTTTGTTTTCCCAAAAAGGGCACGTCAAGTCAGTCTTCTCACTTTCTCTTCTTCTGGCTGGGAAGCAATGGCTTTCTCTTTTTCTGTTTCTTGAAGACATCCCAGTCACTGCATTCCATTTACTCAGGTCACTGTGGCCCCATGTCTGTGGTAGCCCAACGTGAGAAGTGTTAACCTTACAAATAAAACTGTCAGTTATTTTACTAGCAAAAATTGGTTTATTCAGGAATGGCAGTGAATGTTAATTTGGTACAAGCACAATTTGGTATGGCAAAACCATGGGCTAATCCAGAGGCCAGAGGAGGAATGCTCCTTTATAGAGAAAAGGTGGAAGCTGGGAGGGCTGTTCTAAATAAAAAGCCCATTGGAGGAAACTGGGAGTCTGAAGTGTAGTGGCTTCTCTGTGGCTGAGTGTGACCGGCTGCCATTGGCCGAGCTGTGGGGAGAGGGGAGGGGGCGGAAAGCTTCCTCCCTTCCTCCAGCTGTGCAGCAGCCGCCGCCAAAGTAGATACCCCTTGCAAGGTGTGTCTCCTCCTGTGCCGCCTGCAAACGATGATCGGTGTGGTAGGGTGCAAGTGTTCCCAACTCCATTTTAAACAAGACTTCCTTTTAATTTTCACAAAAGTCCATGAAAGCTGTATGGCTACCATGATACTGAGAACACTGATTTTAAAACAATTTAGGTTACCAATAGTCTTTGAAATTAAAATATTAAGCTGTACTTGATGTAATTATCTTTTTCAAAGACACAATCTTGCACTTGTTTTCTCAGGTACTTCTTATTTTATTATGAAAATTTATCGCTTGTTTAACTGAAATAAAATTTCAGTTTTTCACCATTCATTTTCTCCATGGTTACTTGAATCCATTCTTCTATTAAAATATGTTGAAATACAATAAAATCAGACCTCATAAAGTTGATCTTCTAAGTGAATTAATATTATTTGAATTTTTTCAATCACAGTGACAAATACTCATTCCAATAGCCGCCCCCTTCTTCACGGTTTCAGCTATCAGTAGTCAACTGTGGTTCAGAAGCAGAGGCTCCTCCTCCTCACGTATGGTCAGAGAAGGTCAATAGTAGCCTATCATTATGTCATGATGCCTACATCATTCACCTCATGAGGTAGACATTTTATCAGGTCACATAATAAGAAGGGTGACTTTAGTAAGATAAGATATTTTGGGAGAGAGATCATATTCACATAACTTTTATTACAGTATATTGCTATCATTATTCCATTTTATTATTATTGTTCATTTATTACTATGCCTAATTTATAAATTAAACTTTCATAGGTATTATATATAGGAAAAAACATTGTGTGTATATATATATATATATATATACATGTCCATATATATTTATCCATGGTTTCAGGCTTCTACTGGGCGTTATCAGATAAGGGGGGACTACTGTATGTTGAAAGATCAAGAAATTTTTAAGTTTCAAAAAAGAAAAGGCAAAATAATCATCACATCAATTACAAATATCCATCCTAACAGGGGAATATCATCCCAAACTTATGAGTTAGAAGGACTTTAAAAGTTTTATGAACAAGAGTCTTACAACAAATGTTGTGTTACAAGTATAACATATTTAGCTTTACCTGAATTTAATGGGGAAAAATAGGAAATGGGAAAAAAAAGTGACATAAGTGAAGATAAATATTTCTTCAATATAAAAGATACAGTAATGGAGACAGGAGACTGAGTCATTTGTTTACACTCTATGTATCAATCACACACAAGTATTGAATGGTTCTATGCAAAATAAGGGATCTGGTCTTAAGCTTCTTGGTACCTGTAGGTTTTTGTTACATTACTTATTTAACATTCTAAATGTTGTGGCATTACATTCTATTCCAAAACCATAATGCTCACAGTGTTTGGACTTAAATCTAGATTTAAATGAATTAAAAAATCATTTGAGTCACACTGTTCACTCTGGTGAAAGAACAACTACTCAAGTGGATATATCATTAGTATTATTTGTACTTTTTCCATTGTGCATACCAACATGCCTTTTGACTAGACCAAAGAAAAGGTATTGTTAATATTTGACTTTTTAAAAACAATTTCTCCTTATTAATTTAGGCTAATGTTGTATTTTAAGGCAGCATATTGTTGTTATTGAAGGAATATATGTAAAATTTGGAACACCAAATAACAAAACAATAAGTAAGCCATACTTCAGTGAGGTCCTTGTCCTTAAGTTCCACTCATTTCAGTAAGAGGTTCACTGCTTTGTTGCTGCACAATATACTAGATGTAACCAAGTGAGGTGGACATATGGGGTACAGCCTGATGATCCATTAACATATGTAATTTAGGTAACATATATATTGCATAGAAAAACAACACTCAAAAACATGAAAGGAAAAAAGTTGCAAATTCACTATACTAAAGGTACTTTCAAAATTAGTCATTTTTATATGAATTTAGTGGCTGTCTTATATTGTTTTTACAGATGAAGCACGTTTTCTAAAATAGTGGTACAATCTTAACTTTTTTTACCCAAGCTATTTTTGCTTTTGGCTTGGCTTTTTGATACAGAATACTTCTACTTACTCATATTCATCCAAAAACTATTTTCCCAAATGTTACATAACCTTTTGTCACTTTCAAACAAAACAATCATGTCAACTATATATATAAAAAATGCTACTTTCAATAGAAAAGAAGAAAATATGCTGCCTTCAGGTGAACTACTGGGGAAATCACCATTTTTCTCAGTAGAAATACACATCTAGACATACAGGCATTTCAAGACTTTGTTTTCCCAAAGGAACAAAAGGAAACATAAAATGCATTTTCACCATAATAGGAACCTCAGGGGCTATAGTGGTGGTGCAAATGCCATTTTTTTGGTCTCATAACTTTGTCCTTACTTAAAACAATGAAACTAAAATTAGGAAAAGTCAACTCACAATTCCTCGATTAAATATTTCAGTGATTCTGGGAAATTCAGTGGTAATATTAATTCTGCTAGTAACATAAGCACTTTGAAGTTTGATTCCTTTACTGACATTTGTGGCAAAATACATGATATAAAATGCGATTGTGCTCTGTAACAGTAAGTTGTATCTGCAACAACAGGGAATGGCAATAACTGACTTTAGCTAGTTTTATAAAAACTGGTTCTTTATTAAACAGTATTACTTTAAGTGGGTATTAAAAACCCACCAATACCAAATCTTTGGCAATCTAACGTTCTAACAGTAGTGCCTTTGATGTGGTCGACCATCTCAAACCCCTTTCTATGCGAAAACTTTTTTCATCCCCTTTTTTCTCTTCAAAGTGCTGTTTACTTTTAGTGATATTAAAACCCCAAGAGCATTAGTATCACTTATCTTCCATTTCTTTCCCTATTTTATTTTTTTCTGCTCCTAGATGCAGCAGGATATGGCAGCGTTGCGCTTTGACTAGCACATAACCTTGGTCAAGGCACTTAACATCCCGAGGGCTCAATTTCCTGAACAGTGAAAAGGTCTCATTTAGACGACCTCTAAAGTCCTCACGCTAACCGTCCCGAAGTTTTTTGGGTGTTCAGTTGAAATACCAAATTGGTTTCCCAAATACCTTCTTGTAGTCCATGGTTCAGTTGTGCTAATTTGCACTCGTACAGCGCGAAGCTGCTACACACAGCTGACTAACGTGCCTTCTCCGATCCCTCAAGCCCTTTTTCTGCCAGAAATCACCAATTTTGTCCGTGAGGTAAAAGCTGCCCAGAGAAGGCTGAGATGGAGAAAGTATTCTAAAAACGGGATCAAATGACTGGTCAAATGGGAGACCTCTGCAAGGAGATCCGAGAATTGCAGCCTTCAAGCCGAAGTGGGCGCGACCAGCCCGGGAACTACTGAAGCACCAGACTCTAAGACTCTAAACAAACCGAATATAGGCTCTGCCTAAAAGAGCAGGAGAAAACACGGAATCCCCGGCGGACTGGACACATCTCAGAAACCGAGGAGGCGTGCAGAGCGGAAAGGGCGGAGCCTGAGCTTCCGGCGGCCCCGCGACGGCGTGTCCCTCCGCCCCTGGGTCCAGCCCTCCTTGGTTACCCTCGTTCGGCCGACCTGGAGAGGCCGAAGCACCCGTCCGGGATCTGGCAGGAGAGGGCGGCGGCGCTCGTGTTCCCCACTCAGGATCCATGGGCTGGGTAGCGGGAAGCCAACTGTTGTGGACTCGGGGACTCGCGTCTCCTAGCAACGAGGCGCTAGGAAGGACCCGGTCATTCAGGCCCCGCCCCCTGCAGACAGGCCTTCATTCTCACCGGCGCGGGTGGGTGGAGCAGAGGGCCCACTTTGGAAAATCAAAGTTGATCCCAGGGTGAGAACCTTGCAAGGGCTCATCCCGAAGCAGAGATGGAGAGCAAAATAATGTTCTTTGCTGCTGCTTCAGCCTCAGACAGAATTCGCCAAGGCAGCAGATAAGAGAACAGAGACCATTGGCAATTCTGATCCCTGATAGTAGATTCTATCTGTCCCCCTACCCCACGCCCCCACCACCGCCCTTGCCATTTTGTTGACATTAAATGAACCAATCTGTAAGGTGGAGCATAGTGCCTGACAATTAGCCTATGATAAATGACATCTGTAACTTAAATGATTTTTCTCTATCATTTTCATTATATTTAAAATACTATTTACTTACAACTCTCAATTTATTTCTTCAACCCAAATCTCTCTAACTCTAGATTTGTATATCTTATGTAAATTCAGTATCCACTTGGTTGTCCAAAACAACCTCCCATCAAGTGCCCCCCCAGACGTGCTCCTTCCACATTCTTCCGCTTTGAGTGGATGGCCCTGGAATCCACCCTTTTTCATGTCCTCAACATCCATCCTTCAGCAAAACCTGTTGGCTTTACTGCTCCCATCCAGTCCAAGCCACCATCATGTTTCCCACTGTAGTTACTACAAAAGGTCTCTCCTAACAGGTCCCTCTTGTTCCCCATAGTCTCTTCTCAACACATTAATCAGTGTGATCTGTTTAAAAATAAATCACCCTTACGTCATTTCTCTGCTCACAATCCTGCAGTGGCTCTTCATTAAAACCAAAGCCCTACAAGATTTGCATACGACTCCTCTGTACTTGCTCTGTGACCCTGGCATACTCCATCCCATGCACACATCATGCTGTTCCTGGCCTAGCTTTCACACTGAGAACTTTGTAGTTGTTCCCTCTGCCTGGAATGGTCTTCCTCCATTTATCCCCTTGGCTAATTTCCTCATCTTCAAGTCTTTGTTAATATCTCAACTTGCCCATCCCCATCCCTCTTGCTCCCTCTTCCCATCATGTTCTCTACCTCCCTTACTATGTTCTGGTATTTCTGTCTTCCAGAGTATGTATCACTTTCTAATACATTATTTCTTAATTTTATTGTTTATCTTCCACTAGAATGTAATTTGCATAAAGACAGAAATCTTGCTAACCAATTTCCCAGAAAAGTGCCTAGCACACAGTAGGTGCCAGAGCAATACATTTTAAATGAATGAGTTTCAGCACCAGGGCCACTATGATGCTCTGGAGGCATTATAGTGTCATGGCTGGGAGCATGGTGTTTAAGGCATGACCTTAGATTTTACTCTGGTTTCTTCTACTTAACTTGCAACATGACCTTGTGCAAGCTACTTAACCTCAGTTTCCTTAACTGTAAAATGAGGACAGAATTGTACATATCTGATGGGGTAGTTGTGAAGATGAAATAATAAATATAAATCATTTAAGACAGTATCTGGAACTGCATCAATGACAGATATTTCTAAAATGGGCACTCCATCACCACATGGATTTTTCTCTACTCACTACTATGTCTTTAGTGCCTATAAAAGTGTCTGGCACATAGTAGATGACCAAAGACTATTTGCTGATTTGAAAAAATGAATCCATTCCATCACATTTCCTGCAGCATTGTGGCTTCTTACCGAGACTTCCTACCCCAGACTACCTGAGTGTTCTTTCTAAACTCAAAACTTAGATTAAGCACCCATGAGAATTCCCTGGAGAATGTGGTAGAACAGATTACTTGACCCCATACCCAGAGTTTCTGATTCAGTAAGTCTAGGCTGGGATGGAGGCTTTTTATTTCTCATAGGTTCCCATATACTGTTGGTCATGCTCTTCCAGGATCTAAACTAAGAAATTCTGTTCTAATCTCAACTGTCACTCTCTTGTTTCAAACCACGCAGGCTTCCAACTACTGCTCAAGTTAAGTTTAAACTATTTGGCTTGGTGTACAAGGCCTTCAGGGTCTGGTCCCTTCTTAGCTGATTTTGCTTTGACTTCCCTCGTTAAGTCCCTATTATTTAACCCCTTTTGAGCCCAGTACTTTGGTTAAAAGGAACTATTCGCAGTGCCCAGATTGAATAAAAATCTCAGTCCCGGGACTTCACCTATTCTTGGGCCTGGTAGCTGAACTCAGGTTCACCTTCTTTGCTAAGTTTTTCTGATGGCCCCTTTCTCCCTGCAGAATTGAGCTCTCCTTCATCTCCTCACTACACACTGAGCACAGTTCCATTAAAGTACTGTAGAGTCTCTTGCATTTATTTATTTCCATGAGTTTTTCCTTCTGCTATTTGTCTGCTATGTCTGGCACAGTGCTTGGCACTTAGTAGATGCCCAGTAAATAATAATAGTGAATGTTTATTGAGTACCTACCATTTCCCAGGGCTTTGGGTAAACTTTATTACCTTCATTTGAGGATGAGAAAACTGAGTTACAAAGAGGTTAATTTAACCAAGATCACCCAAATAGTAGTGGCTCATTGAGGAGCTAACCAGGGCCTCTGAAATCTCCTACCTGGACTCCTAGCCCTTGAACCATCTATTTTGGAATGTTAACTTGAACAAATCCATACATTTCTCTGCTTGCTCTAAACCAAATTTCCTCTCAACTTCTTCCAAAACTGAAATCAGAATATATTTTTTAAAAATCACAAAACTGAAGATAAGCTGTCTGCAGCTAAAGCTTATACATTAGGACATCCTGAATTTTGAAATTGTTAACCCTTAGTAGTAAGTATAGTTCCTTGTCTTTATATTTAAAAACTATATAATATTGTGTATATATTTCTTTTCATTGCTGTCTTGGGTTAAATTGTTGAAGTCCCAAATTCATTTGTTGAAGTCCTAATTCTCAGTACTCATAACGCAATGAGCTGTTCATCATCAGGAATTGCTTACTCAATTTGTAAATTATAAATGGAAGCAGCGACTAATAGTTACTTGAGTCTACCAGGAGTCAGATAGTGTTTCTCTTGCAGTCCTCATGGTGCTGTTTCCCTTCGCGCTCCTGTTCCTGCGCAGACCCGGGCTGCAGTTCAGCAGAGATACGCCTGCGTTGTGTCGAGGCTTCTGGCCGGAACCACTCGGGGTTTGCAGCTGCACTCGGGATGGCAGCGGGCACCCCAGACGCAGGCGCCCCGCGGACCTTTAAACCTTTAAACCGCGGAACTCGGGAAGCGGGCCCCACCGCGAGGCTGCTCTGATTGGGCACGGCTGCTCCCGGTCGGCCAATGGCGCGGCGGCGGCAGGTTCCCGGAAGTAGCGGAGCGGTCGAGACCTCGGCTTGCAGGCTGGGCGTAGGGGTCCGCTGGGTTTGGCCGGCGCTATGAGTTCCTTCGAGGGACAGATGGTCGAGTATCCTACCATCTCCATAGACCGTTTCGACAGGGAGAACCTGAGGGCCCGTGCCTACTTCCTGTCCCACTGCCACAAGGGTGAGTGACCGCGACGTGGGCACTCTGGGACCTGGCTGCGCGGGTTCTGGCCGTGCGTGGTCTCCAGGGGTCGGGCCCTGGGGCGAGGGTGTAGGCTTCGGAGGCCACGGGAGAGACCAACAAGTCCACCTTGTTCCTGTCTGGCCCCCAGCCTCTCCCAGGCTTTTATTTCCTCTGTGCAACGGGACAGACACTGGCGGTTGCCCACTGACCAGGCATAACTGTTAGCTTCTTCGGTAGCTCTTCTGCGGCCACTGGTGAGACCGGCGAGATGACTTAGTTCTTCCCCCACGTCCTCGCTGCTGTTATGAAGAAAACAAGTTTGAAATGAAATTCTGCCATACCCTTTCAAACATTAATTAGCAAGCAGGCACCCCTCACACACTCAGATCAAACAGCCTGCCCGTAAGCAAGACGAAACGCGAGCCCCCCTCCTTTCAGACGTTCTGTCCACACCCGGTACGAAAGATTCATTTTAAGTTGGGCAAACCAGAATACTAAGATTTCACAACTGCACACAGTTAGGGATTAAGCCTGGAGCGTCATCCGCAATGGTATGATCCCCAGGTTCAATGCTCTAGGGGAGGCTGGAGTGGCTCGCAAACATTGTAGGTGAGCTCCAGAGCGGGAGTATCACTAATTCCACAACATTGTCCATTTTTAACATCCAGGATGCTGACCAATGAGTCACTAATCTTACCTGAGAAAACACTTTTAATATTCATTATGCTAATCAGCACAGCCTTTGGCATTAATCAGAGATGAAGATGGACTGAAGCTCTCTAGAAGTATGGGCGTCCCGCATGGCTTGAGGATCCTCCTAAGGACTCTTTTGAGGAGTGAATCAGTGTGTAACAAAGATAGGCACCCACATATTGCATGGTGTAATTTTAAAGCAAATTATATATATCTGCCCTTCCTCAGGGGTTGGTATGAGGGCAACTGTTTTGTGTGTGGCATCAGTTACTTTAACCTGTATAAACTTGAAGTTACTGTTTTGGAAAAATGCCCCTGCTTTCTTGCTTTAAGCCACTGATTCTTTTTAGTGAGGATAATCTGGACCGCCTCTCTCCATTTCTAACTATGGCTGGAAGCCTCTTTTAAGGGTCTTTCTATTTATTCTTGAGAATCACATGTTTCTCTCTGAATCTGCTGCTGGATGAGGATGCCCCTATTTTTACCTTTTGTGTTGCATCTCACTGGACATTTTTTTTCTCTGCTCTGTTTTTCTTTCCCACCTGTTTCACTCATCTCCTCACCTCTTTCTCTCTCTGGCAGTTACAAAAAAAAGTTATATTGACACCAGAGTTTTGAACTCAGAATGTGATAGCCATGAATAAAGTGTGGCCCAGTAGTGAGTTTGGAGAAAGAATTCATCCAAAGGAAACTATGAAATTATCATTAGCTTGTACTTTAAGCAAGAAATGGGCTTTCTTCTGCTGAGCAGTTTATAGTAACTTTTTCTGTTCTTATCACATGTGGGTCTGTTTGCTCAGCCAGGATGTAAACTCGTCAAGGGTGCAAAAACACAGCTTCTGCTTTCAGAGATTTCCCATGTTGGTTTTTAACTTTTCTGGGAAACATTTCTTTGGAGGTACTGTGGACTGAATTGTATCCCCCCAAATTCATACATTGAAGCCCTAGTTCCCACTGTGACTGTAGTTGGAGATAGGCCTTTAGAAGGCAAATAAGGCTAAATGACGTCATAAGAGTGAGGTCCTAATTCGAGGTGATTGATGGCCTTATAAAAAGAATACGAGAGAGCTTTCTCTTCTTTCACACACACACCGAGGAAAGGCAGTGTGAGTCCCCAGTAGGATGGCAGCTGTCTGCAAGCCAGAAACCACCCCTGGCACCCTGAACTTGGGCTTCAGCTTCCAGAACTATAAGAAATGAATTTCTGTTAAGCCAACCTGTCCATGGAATTTTGTTATAGTTGTCTGAGCAGACTAACACAGAATATCTGACAAAATCTATGGACTCTTTTGCTAGAATAAATGCATTAATATCACATTTTGATATAATTTAGGATGCACCATGGATCCATTTGATGCCTGTTTACAGACCATCTAGAGCCCAGTGCAATGCTCAAGTCAGGTCTGGAGGATGAGGGGACCATGGACTTGAGCTAGTGGCCAAGGTTAGAGAAGGCCCTTTAGGGATGACTTATGATGATTTATTCTGGTCAAGGAGAAAGAAAAAGGCCATGGACGGGACTCTGGGTACATTTCTAGCAGCACAAAGCAAGCTTAATCTAGGCTCTCTTGGCAGCCAGGCAAGAAGGGGCCTGAGGTGGCAGGCGGGGTGTCTGGATAAAACAGCTGCAGGCTGCTGCCTGCTGATTGAGTTTGGGAGCATGGAGCAGAGGCCTGCAGCCTCCTTTTTGCCATGGCATGAACTTTGTGGAAACCTTGGTTACCCAAAGTCCTGCACCCATAGACCCTAAAAGCCCTGACCAGCAGTGGCTGAGACTTGTCCCCTGAGGTGGCAGGTGGACTGTCCTGTGGAGGCACATGCCCGGTCAGGGTCTGCCATATGAGGTGTGGTGACGACCTTGTTTTCCCTGGAGCAAAGAATTGCCACATATAAGCTGAGGGGTATGTGTTGTTGGTGATTAGAATAATCAGAATTGGTCTGATTTAACTACATTTAGAAGTGTTTAGTCATTGTGACCTAGACCTTTGCATGCTAAAGAGCAGCAGTGGATTGTGTTACATGTTTAATGTACCACTTGGTTTAAGTGTTACATTTCTGTAAATGACCTCTTTTGGTGTTTGTGAATTTGGAGTCTGTGGAGCCTGTGTGGATAGAAATATCCTACCTTTCAACCGCACAGTCACAGCAGGCTGGGAAGAGAATGACTCTTCTTATTCTGGCCTAAGCCTGAATGATTTCCTACAGGGTTCCAAAAGCAAGCTTCAATTTCCAGATGGACCAGTTTAAGTGACTGGAATGGAATGGTCACAGAGAGCATGGTGCAAAGGGTGGTTGGATTGAAATGAAAGAAGAGAGTAAAGGAAAGTGCTAGAAGCAGTTCTGAATGAGACCATGGTCACTATTCTTCTGAGGCTGCTCAGAGTGATTTAGACTCTGCCCTAAAATGCAAGGGATCCTCCTTTTAAATGGCTTCTCACAGTGTGGTGGCTTCTGTCCTATTTTCAGGTGGATTCTTCCTTCATCTGCAGAAGAGTACTAGGCCATAGAAATCAATTCTTTCATAAAAGTGAACGTCCTCTGCATTTTCCCTTAAAAGGAAGCTTGGGAAGAACACACAACCCAGTTTTTTCAGGCCAAGGAATCCACCGAAAAAGTAATGAAATAATGTGTTCATGATTTTTGGTTCTCTTTTTTTTAGATCACATGAAAGGATTAAGATCCCCTGCCTTGAAAAGAAGGCTGGAGTGCAGGTAATTTGTCTTGCTACTTATGTGTGTTCTGAAGTCAACATTTTAATTGAGCTGCAGAAAAGTGAGAACATCGTACATTGTAAGGGCATAGCCCGATGGACTTACAGTGGACACATCTGTTCCACCCAGATTGAGAAATAGAGGACCCCAGCAGCCCAGCACAGACCCCCATTGCTCCTCCTAGGCAGCCCTCTCCCAGCGGTGACCTCTGCTCTGACTTTTGTCTTCATGGTTCTGGCTGTTTTTGAACTTTATAAAAAGGGAATCATACCGAATGGACTTCTGCATTTGTTTTATTTCACTTAGCATTATAATTGTATGACTCGTCCATGCTATTGTGTGCAGTAATAGTTCACTTTCATTTTGGTAAATGTGTGTGTATATAGGTAAATAATTGTGTTATGAAGACTCATGTGATATTTTAGATCCTCTCTTAAATTTAAATTACTGCATTCTTTTCTTACAGCCATAGCCTAAACCTACAGGTCATTTCGGAACATGTATATGTTGAGAGCCCCGTTAACTTTTTGATTCTTGAACCACTGATGTCAGGCTTCTCCGCTGTTATCAATAGTCTATGTTCTTGATAATGGTAGCTAATGTTTGTTGAGTATTTATATATGCTGCGCACTACATATACATTAGTTCAGCAGTTTGAGTGCCTCTGATGAGTCAGGCGCTTTACTGGATGTTGAGGATATAATAGTGAGCAACACAAACAGAAGTCCTGTCTTCTTGGAGCTGACATCCTTCCTAGAGCCTCTTAATAATCTTTTGAATAGATACTATTATTATTTCTATTTTGCAGATGAGGAAACTGAGGAACCAGAGAGGTTAAATTAGTTGTCCAAGGTCACGCAGCCAGTCAGTGGCAGGACCAAAATTTCAACCAGGTCTGTCTGATCTCAGAGCCTGCATATTAGTTATCTATGGCTGCGTAACACATTACCCCAAAACTCAGTGGCTTAAGATGACTAATCATGTCTTCTCTTTCTCAGTTTCTGCGGGTCAGGACTTTGACAGGCACAGTGGGGATGGTTGGTTTCTCCCTGTCTGGTGTGGGGTGACACTGTCTGAAGTCTTATTCGTTCAGTGTCTGACCTTTGGGCTGAGAAAAGTCAAGAAGCTGGGGTCCTTGGGCATCTCTCTCTAAAAATCCCTTCAGCATGGTGGTTTCAGGATGGCTGGGCTTCTTAAATGGAGACTCAGGGCCTAAAATGTCTATGTCCCAAGAGAGCGCTAGCAGACTTCCATGTTGCCCACCCAAAGATGTAGCCTCGGAGGTCCAGCATCATTGCTGTCCTCACATTTTGTCGGTTGAGGCAGTTACAAGGGTCTGCCTAGGTTCAGGGGGAGGTTGGAGAAGACCTCTCCTGTCTCCAGAGGAATTCTCATGTCTGTAAGAAGAGCATGTGCAGATGGGATATTTATCAGTGTGGCTATCTTTGGAAAGTAGAGTCTGCTGCAGATTACATTCCTAACCTCTGAGCTCTAATGTTGAGTTTTAAAAATTTGTAAAATTGATTTTTGCTCATTAAAAAATAGAGAAGATTTATATGAAGTAAAACACAGGAGTTTTCCGTCTCCCACACCCTTTCCCTTCTCTAGGGGTAGCTTAACATTTGGTGCCATCTTTCCACACATACATCCATCAGATGGTGAGGACACCCTTTTGAGGAGGTCAGAGGGCATAGTGTTTTCTCTCATCTGTTCATCCCTGTTGTCCCCTTACACTCTCAATGGAACCGAGATGATCCCTGGGGTGGTGGCATGTTGGGGACTAACACAGTGCCAGCTCAGTTTCTGAATTATCTGGGTTAACTGTGATGACATGTGTTATCTAGTCAGCCAGCTGGCTTATTTTGGATTGTCCTGACACAGCCTTTTTTTACCTTTCCTTTCAGCCTGAAGGTTTACCTATATTGTTCGCCTGTTACTAAAGAGTTGTTGTTAACTAGCCCGAAGTACAGATTTTGGGAGAAACGAATTGTAAGTTTTATTTTTTGAATGATACTAATCCTTTTTTTCAAGTGGGAAGTATTTTTTGAGGTAGATTGGACAAAGCATTGGAATTTTTCAAAGCCTAGTTTCTCACAGGTTATGTGTAGCCATGTGAATTATAAACTTTTGTAATTCAGCAGTTTGGAAGAGGCTGACATTTTATTGCTGTTGATTTGTTTTTCTTGTCCTTCAACAGAATGGATAACTTTGAATCTGGCACAACAAAATGGGTCTATCCAATGGAAGGTTAATAGTAAAGGAAAGAAAAACATTAAATAGTAATGTATGGTACTGTGAACATACGAAGATTCAGGAAAAGTTCTAGTATAACAATAATGATAATTATAATAATAAATATGCATGAATTTAATTCAACTCTTGATCAAAAGAGAAATTCTCAGTTTAGGATAAAAAAATAAAAAGGAACCATCAGTCTTACTCTACAAAAGATGCAGATAAAACCAAAGAATAAATGCAGGTTGAAATGGAAAAAGAAAGGGAGAAGATATACTAACCAACTGGAAGCTAAAAATGTCAATGGGGCAATTTTTATGTCATACAGAGTAGAATTGAAGGCAAATAAAATTGTAAGTTTCAAAGAGGTTAAAAGGAACAATGGATCCAGAGGGTATGAACACTTACGCAGTTGTCAAAATAGCCTTAAACTGAATAAAGGAATAATGCATCAGCCAGCACTTGATTAGAGAGAGAACCACAATGGGTAAACAGAATAGGTACAATGCAGAATATAGGACATAAAATATAGACAATATATGCAATATAGAATATAGGTACAATAGAGAATATTTACAATAGGTAAATAGAATCTTTCTATAGATTAAACCTTAAGTGATTGTGGAAGCTGGCAGGGAGGTCTGAACAACATAATCCAATAATTAAAAACTAGTGCATTGTGAATACAGTGGGTTTATTCCAGAAATGCAAGGATATTTGAACACCTGAATCTCGGTCACTCTAAGTTTTGTGACATCACTGGACTAGGAAGATGAAAAATTATGTTCATTTATTCATCAACTACTTACTGAATGGCTCTCTGTGCTAGGTTCTGTTCTACCAAAGTGTGCATGTACAGTGTGGGGCCTGTGCAGTAGCTTAGTCTGTAATTAGGATCCAGACTGTGTTCTGCAACACAAAACCTGAACTCATAGAACACAGGATGACTTGTTTTACAAAGATTCGAGTTCCGAGGGAGAGGGAGTGGGTGGGGCAGGCATGGAGATTAAAGAGAAGAAAGTAGAATTCATGGAAATGGATTTGCTTGGTCAAAGGATGTGAGGTCACAAGGCAGTCAGTACATATATTGCCGCCTCTGTTTCAAGAAAGGCATTCTTTAACTTCATCATGTTTTCAAGCTGTTAAAACATTTAGTATAGTAAATCAGAACTTGTTACACACAGTCTGTGACTTCTCTCAGTCCCCTTCCTGAGTCTGAGATGGCAAAGCATATAAAGCCATGGAAAGCTGTGAACACACAGGATGTAAACATGATCTCTTCTTTTATTTTAATAGATATCAATTGAAGTTGAAACTCCTACCCAGATATCTTTAGTTGATGAAGCATCAGGCAAGGTAACTAATATATATTCAATACTGTATTTTTTAAAAAGATTATTTAGTGATAAAATAATTGTTTAGCTTTCTCCTTGATTTTTAATGCTCATCTAGCCATAAATAAAAATTACAGTAGTTGAGTGAATTTGAGAAGCCCCATTGGTGACATACTTTCTGCATCCAGAGGATTGGCCAGAACTTCTATCAGGATTGCCACCTGACAGGACAGGGTGAGGTCCGGCTTGGTGATGTACAGCCGGACCATGTGTCTTGCCAGTGGATTTCAGCCCTGGGTAGGTTCACTATGGATTCACTGTGACCAAAGAAATGACAGTAGAATGTTCTTGGGATGAAAGGGATATGCTCAACTTTATTTCCATGGTGGCAGGTCAGTCACTAAAATCCCGTCCATTCAGAGCAAGTCTATATGCAGCAAGCTGGTCTCTGCCTCTGGGCCTCTCTGCCTGCACAGCTGTCCGCTGGTCATCTGTCTTCTGCACCTCTGTCCTCTGCTCTGCTCTCCTGCAGCCTTGCAGTCGTGCCACTGTGTCGCCCAGAGCACTGGGCAGAGCTCTTTATATAAAGTCAGTACCAACATATTCCCCACACGTGTGTAGTGAGCTAGCCAACCAGGGCCAGGTGAGAATCCTGGCCATAGGAACTTTGATTTATCCACACCATGTCAGGCTTTTTATCTTTTTCTTAAATGATGGTTTTATTGAGATAGAATTCACGTGCTGTACTACCGTTCACTCTGCGGAAAGCATACAGTGCAGTGGCTTGCTGTGAGTCAGAGTTGTGCAGCCACCACTATGATCAGTTTTAGAACATCCCCAAAAAGAAAAGCCTGTGCCCCTTGGCTGGCACGACTGTTTCTCCCTCCCCAGAGCCCCTGGCATCTGCTACTCTACTTAAGTCTCTCTGGATTTGCCTATTCTGGACATTTCATATAAATAGACTGACAGTACCTGGTCTTTTCTGGGGCAGACTTCTCTCACTTGGCACAGTGCTTTCATGGCCTGTCTGTGTTGTAGCATGCACCACGGTGCATTTTTTTTAATGGCCAAACAATATTCCATTGGATGAGGATCACATTTTGTCTGTTCATTCATCAGTTGATAGTCATTGGGCTGTTTCTACTCTTTGGCTAGTGTGGGTAATGCTGCTGTGAACATTCATGCACAGGTTTTTATTTGGACGTACATTTTCATTTCTTACCCATGGGTGGAATTACTGGGTCAAAGTGTAACTCTAGACTTAACCATTGTTTCGTGGGCAAGGATTCCACTTGTTTCCAGGATTTGGAGTGTGAGGAAATGAGAAGAGACATACCACTTCTTTGAGGAGTACTTGAATATGTTCTGTTAAGGAGAGCTTTATTTAGCTGTGTGTCCTTGTGATAACTTCTATTTTCTTTTTAGAAGGAAGAGATTGTTGTGACTCTCTTGCCAGCTGGTCATTGCCCAGGATCGGTTATGTAAGGGGACTCATCTGTTTTGTCATTTTTATTATATGTAAACATGTACTATGCTTGTAGAAGTAAAGTTTCCAGTACTAGAAAATAGTAGGTTAGGGAGATTTGATTATTTTTAAGGCATTTTCTTTCATCTCTGATTCCAAATTGAACTTGGCGGACTCAGATGAGGACCAGGTGTGGAATGTGGCCCTGTCATGGTGGGAATCTTCAGTAGCTGTTTCCTCACTGGGTTTGCATTTGCCTTCGCATGGATTGCTCTCTCCATGAGCAGGAATGATCTCAGCATGGAGTTGAGTGTTAACATATTTCAGGGCTTATCTTGCAAACTCAGTGTTACTTCCACTGCGGTATTTTTTTCCATCCCAGGGAAGAGGTGGCAGCTAGTCCCTGGTGTGGTTTAGAGCTACACAGATTCTTGATGCACACCTTATCATAGTGGCTATGTTTGGCAGGAAGCATTTGCCATGGATCTAGCCAATATTTGCTTTATCAGGACTTTGTGTGAGACTTAGCAATCACTGAGATACGTTCCCTCTTCAGGTTTCTTTTTCAGGGCAGTCATGGAACTGTCCTGTACACGGGAGACTTCAGGTTGGCAAAAGGAGAAGCTGCCAGAATGGAGCTCCTGCACTCCGGGGGCAGGTGCTGGGCCCCATAGAATCCTTGACCGTCAGACTGCATTGAAAAGTTTTCTTGCTCTTGGTCCTGCCAGGACAAGCTTTTGGTTCTATGAGAAATCAAATTTGATTGTAATATTTGTAACAGCAAGGCAAAGTTTTCTTCTTGAAATGGGATGATGGATTGGTATAGTAGTTACATGAATTTGTCAAAATTCACTGGCCCATATATATGCAAAATCTGTGTATTTTATTTTATGGAAATAATTTCCCAACAAACTTGATTAAACAAATTCCAAATGGAGTGGAACACCCTGTAAAATAACAAAAGTTTACACTTTATCATATTTTATTTCATAGTCAATGATTAACACGTTGTTGTTTTTTCAGAGTGAAAGACATCCAGAGTATATACTTAGATACTACTTTCTGTGATCCAAAATTTTATCAAATTCCTAGTCGAGTAAGTCTTTCTGGAGAAATGGGATATTACCTGGGTATGGCCATATTCTAATGGATTACAAACCAGATCATGATTGTCTCCATTGGCACTGGTATCTGTGTTTGTTAGGATTGGAGAGGGTTAAGTGATGTTCTTAAAACCGTTCAATGCCTGTTAAAATTCCTGCCCAGGGGGAGTGTCTGAGTGGAATATTAGAGCTGGTGCGGAGCTGGATCACTCGGAGCCCGTACCATGTTGTGTGGCTGAACTGCAAAGCTGCGTATGGATATGAGTATCTGTTCACCAACCTCAGTGAAGAATTCGGAGTCCAGGTGTGGGGATGGCTCTTCTCTTTGCTTCCTTTCTTCCTTCCAGCTTCACCTTTCTACCTCCTCCCTGCCCCCTGAAAACTAAACAGTCACCGGTGGAAGCAACCTATCAAAACACGTGCATGGCCCAGGTTGGCAGCCCCTCTTAAGTAATGCCGGTCGTGTATTCACTTCCTCACAGGGGCTGACAGTGGCCCAGATGGCCAAGAAGAGCCCTTTGGTGAAATGTCCCATGGACGAAGTGTTCTTTCAGAGTGGGTCAGGAAGTAAATTTAGTGATTGTGACCAGCCTTGAACATAAATTTGAACTAGAGACTGAGTGTATTGCTTACAGTTAGTAATTATTGTTTTGTGAAAATTTTCATGCAGAATCAGATACATCTGTATGTTGTGCACATACATGTGTATGTTGCTTGGTTGCCGTGGAAAACATTTCTTACTGTAGGTCATGGTCAGAAAGGTGTGTAACATGTTGTCCAGCCACTGAGCCTCGTCGATGGATCAATATCTGATCAGGCAGGGAGGGTGCTTCCACCTGTCCCTCCCAGGTGGCACAGCGCTGGGCTCTCAGGATCCTGAGCAGCAAGCCAAGCCCAGTGCGTGAGGGGCTGCCTGCCCCAGGGCCGGCATGGGGCCACTCTCCTCCCCTAAGACAGGATGGCTGTTTGGTACCAACTGAATAAGACGAAGTGCTGAAACTATTTGGATGCTGAAGTTCTAGCTCTTTTGGTACCTTTTCATATAGATCCCTCAGCTAACTGTGCCAAGAATTTAACAGTTATATACAATCTTAATAAAATAAAAAAGATCTAATTTTTCTGCATTTGAAATTTTGAAGCCCTTCCCTCCCTCCCTCCCCCTTTCCTTCCTAAGCCTTTATTTCGTTGGTCCTTGTTAATGTCTTCCTTCCTGAAGTCCTTCTGTCCAAATGTATTGCCATAAAGTTACCAAGTCTCCACTTTAGGATGGATTTGTTTTCATTCTAAGATTGCCATTCCTATGTTTTTCAGTGTTGAGATGGCCTTTTAAATGAAATCCTGGTGACAATAGCTTGTATGCACACACACTGCATTGATCTCTGCTATCTACTATTTTTTCCCCTGGTCCTGTCCTAGCACAACATAAAGGTAGCAACTGCTTATCAGTCCCAGGTTTGTTTTGTGAATTTTAGTGGCGTGTGAGGTGGAACAGCCTGGAGGCTCCTGCTCTGGATGCCTTACATGAAGGCCCCACGGGCTGAGGAGGGCTCAGGGGAGAGCAGCCTTTGGTGATGACCTCAGAGTCACCCTGGTGTGACCTTCTCTGAAGATTCTTAATCCTTTTATAGGGGATGGAAACAATTTCAGATCAGTAAGTTAAAAAGGGAGAAGAGAGAGAGTGTAACTAAGGAACCTCAGAGATGATCTGTGGCAGTGTTTTGAGGCTTCAATTTTATGAGGATTAAAGTTTCTATGTGTCTCTTTATATCTCAGAATACCTTTTTTTCTCCTTAGGCCAGAAAATGAAACTTGTTAGTCATTAGTGAGCACATTCTGAGTGGAACAGGTCATGGGATGAGCAAGCAGTTCTGCCTGGGTTCTTTTTCTACCTGTCTTGGTATTAATTGCCACAGCAATTTGACATTCTAATTACACTTCCAAATGAGAGTGCTTTTTTTTGGTGCCATTTCATAACCCTAATATCAACCTAGGTACTTGTTTACCTTGAAGTACCCAGAAGAGAAGCTTTAAGTAAAACTGATACATTGGTTTTAACACTTATCACCCGCCTTAAAATTCTTAAGGTGGCCAAGGTTTTCTTTGCTGTTCTGCATCTGTCCTCCCTTCCCCTTTTAATCCAGTAAAGGATGTGTAGGAAGGGAGGACAGGATCTCTGCTTCCTGGTCCAGCTGTCTCCCCCAACCAGCTGCCCGGGGATGGCATGTTGTGCATCTTCACCAGCAAGTGGCTGTTGGTCGTTTTTGTCTGCTGTGTTCACTGCTACCAACCCAGTATTTCGAATCAGGCTTGACATATAGTAGATGCACAATAAATATTAACTGAATGACTCCTGAGAGACTAAAGGACAGTCCTGGCATGATCCAGTGAAGTTCACCACCCAAGACTCTGGAATTTTCTATCACCACCAACAGTAGCCTGTAAGGCTTACTGGTGGGAGAAAGATTGGGTCCTTTGCCTGTTGACATCCTGGCAGAATGCTCATATTCACTCAGACAGCCAAAATTTAGGTTTCAAGAAAGAATTCGTTCATTAATTGGATGGTTTACCCCTGATTAATTACTCTTAAACAATTTATTTGTAGAAAATACAATTCAAATAACATGCTTATATGTTATTTTCCTCAGGTTCATGTGGATAAACTAGACATGTTTAGAAACATGCCTGACATTCTTCAGCATCTCACAACAGACCGTAGCACTCAGATCCATGCATGTCGGCACCCAAAGGTACATAGTAAATTGTCTGTGTGACCATGAAAAACAAATAGGTTCAGAAAGAACCTCTGAAATTCCATTTTCTAGGCTCTTCAGTTTACAGATATAAAACCTGATCCTAAGTTATCAGTCCAGGGATATGCAGTTTCTACAATGCTGCAGTTCCTTCCATAAACCTCAGAATTAGTAAATAGATATACATACTTATAGCTTTTAAATGAAATATATTCACACACATTTGGTATGTTTATTTGTAGTGAATTATATAATGAATAATTTATTTGTGATGAAATTAGTAAATGTTAGAGTTTATAATTTCAGGAAAATATTCACAATCCATTACTGTTTATATTTGAGACTCATGTGCACATTTATAAAGTTTATTTTTCTTCTCATTTGAGATAAATGTCTAGATATAACTTGGCTTCAAATTTTGAAATAGTTACATGTGTTCCCAGTTCAAATTCAAATGTATGTTTCTAGTGTCTTTGCAATTCACTTGTACTTCATTTTCAAATGTCACCATAGAACTTTCTTATCAAATGCCCTTCTGTGGCTAAATGCCAGGTAGTAAATTTTGAAATTCAACTTCCTTTTTTTCATTTTGATTTATATAGTCATTCAATATCACTACTACTAATTAGTGATCTTCAAATGCAGTGCATTTCCCCAAATTTAGTATCCAAATGCTGGTAATTCTTATTTTGGTAAACACTGAACTTACATATAGATAATTAGTGTGGTGGTATTACTGTCCCCATCAGCCAAAAGCCTGAAGTATATTTGCTCGGCCCTAAAATAAAGTGTAATTTAAAAGGGATTCTTATCCACAGCATGGAATCATCTGTGTAAGTCCTCTGGAGGAGAGCTACAAAGTAAGAAATTACTTTTTGATTGGTAAACTGCAAATTGTAACTTGCATTCATGAATTCATTTTATCATTTGTGCATGTACACACACTTACCCAGTGACTTCATGGATGGATAAAAGTAATGTTGGTATAAACTAGATGCAGTTTTGTCCTTTTTCTGTTGGATTTGTAGTCTTTGGGTACCCCCACACCCCATACATATTTTAATTGGCAAATTACTTCTTGCTCTAAATTGTCTCATATTCCACAAAGTAGCTTGATTTGTAGTTGCTACTCCTGTTATTTCCCACATGGCTACTTGCCTTGAAACACCACCTCCAGCGGCTTAAGATCATTCTTAGGTCACAGAGCATTACAAATACTGAGTGGAACACAGCTGGCGAGCCCTGGAGGGCTCTCCTCTGCAGCCTTCTAGGAAATAGCACCAAGGGCGCCCACAGTGTTGGATTTAGATGGAGTACTCTGTAAACATAATGTCTGGTAAAGTAGTCCCATTGTTTTTCAGCCTTTTAAAAATAGATATATATTTTGAAGAATTTTTTTGCAGAATGTTCCTGGATTTGGAGTTATCTGATTGTGTCCTCATGTCTACATTTAATTTTCATGTCTGTAAACTTACCAACATTTATTTTTGAGACACACCTGCAAACAGATTTATTGAAAATGTTGAACTGTTTATTTTTTTAAAATCTTTTTTAGGCAGAGGAGTATTTTCAGTGGAATAAATTACCCTGTGGGATTACTTCCAAAAACAGAATTCCACTCTACACAATCAGCATTAAGCCATCTACTATGTGGTTTGGAGAAAGAACCAGAAAAACAAATGTAATTGTGAGGTAAGAAAACAACGTCACAGGTCTGAGAGAAGCCTTGCTATGAGGTAAATAGTCTGAATTATTTTAGTTTAAATGCTATCTAGCGTAAGCCCAAGAAGAGGATATATTACAATTGTGGAAAATAACTTACGAAATTTAAACTCTATTCAGAATTAAGAGATGCTGCTTTCAGACCTAATAGCTAATACCGTTAGCCAGTATTTCCTGCGGCCTACTCTGCTCAGGTAGAGGGAATGGTGAGGGATTAGGTGTTTTGCTTAGCAAGGAGTTACAAATGGATGTGGTAGGGAATAGAAAACCTTAGTGGAATAGGAGAGGGGGAGCACTATAATGACCATTATATCTTAGCAACATTTCCTTAATATTGGCTGTTCAAAATGTATACAAATATTTGTATTTCTGGAAAGAGTTCCCTACTATCCCTAGAAGAAATTCCTGATTATAGGGTGGTTTCATACTGCAATAGCCTAAATGGGAAGGCTTGAAATTTAGAACTTAGCTTAGTTTTGATAAGCGGCCCTTTAACTTTGTGTTGTTTCCTTTTAGGACTGGAGAGAGTTCATACAGAGCGTGCTTTTCTTTTCACTCCTCCTACAGTGAGGTGAGAGGGCCCCATGTGCTCACAGTCCTGTTGCCAACTGCTCAGCGGCCTTCATGCTTGAGAGCAGTGGCCCCCTTGGCCCCCAGAGGCATCTCTTTGTCTACTGCTTAAGATTTGTTGTGGCTTTTCTAAAGAAATGCAGGGAAAATATCTCAGTGGATAAGCTGTGTTTACTAAGTGCAAAGGAGATTGCTTTTATCACCTGTTTTCAGCCTAAACATTGAAGAATATGAATGATTAAAACATTTTCTTTTCCACTCTTGCTTCCTAAATGTATTTTAACTTCCCCACTTCAGTTGTTCTGTTTACTTATCATAAGAGAATCATAAATTTTATTTGAAGCTACTACAGATAAAAATCTCATTATAGACAGCCTTAAGGCATTGTCCAGATTCTTGGCCTTTTCCAAAATTTGATTGTACTGAAAATCCATTTAAAATATAGTTCTGAATATTCAGCAATGGGGAAAAATGAAGATGAGATATGGACACTATCCTTAAGAAAGATACAGTGTAATAGAATGACATAGTTTAAAAAGGCTTAAATGGTTTTGTATGGTACTTGTTATGTGGGAAATTGACCTACTAGAATGGGGACTTTAATTCATTTGCAAAATCCTCCTGTATTTCCAAAGTAAATGCTACCATCTTACAAATTCAGAGATTCAATAATTTCATGCACTGGAGAAAAAGTATAAATGTAAGCCTTTTATGACACTTTAAGACATATTAGTTTTGCAGATCAAAAATCCATTTTTAAGTGCAAAAAATCCATTTCCCTGATAACTACTATTTTTGTGTGTGGGATACATGGACATAGCACTGCAGCTGTGAGCTGTGGATGTTTTAATTATTTAAACAGATGGATTCTTCCAGAGCTCCAGGTAGTGGAATTCTTGTCAAATCAGCCCTGGTGTTGGAAATGATTCTTCATAACATTATTAAAATATACAGTGATATCTCTTAAATAACCTTAATGTTCAATTGCAAATAGATCTGAGAACTTGAACGTAACTCATTTTAATGGTATAATTAAATTTTTCTTCAGCAATAGTCTGCATCTTAGGTTGTCGTCAAAGGCCTGTCCTGGTGAGTGTTGTTTCGGCTCCTGGCTCAGCATCAGGGCCCCTTCCTCTTGACCCCTTCATGGCTGAGTATTCTTTCTGCCTGAGCCACAGGAAGGGCATCTAACCGGGAAGAAGGGTAGGCCTTACTTTTCCAGCTAAAACTCTTGTTTCTCTTCATGGGTGTAATTAGATGCTCATATGGGATGAGGTTTTAGTGTTGCCTCCCAGTGAGGAAGTATCTCCCTGTTGCTTGAGACACAGCGCAGCAGCTCACCTGCCTTCCCTGCCCCCAGATTAGAGCAAGTTGTCACCCAAATGATGTCACCACTCTGCTTAGTTCTCTTACTCCAGGGTCTGGTGAGAAAGAGAGGCTTTCCTGAAATGCTTTAACTAATAGGACTTCATCCTATAAGTAGAACATAAATAGTATATTTGAATGTCATTTCCTTTCAGTTTTTTCTAAATCCTCATTATCCATGGACTCCTTGTTTACAGATTTGCCTCCTGGCTAGGGTTTGTTTGTGACCCCAAATGAAAACTGGGGGCGCTCTGGCCGGACTAGGCTGCACCTCTCCTGCCCTAACTGCTCGCAGACTGCTTAGTGCTGTGTTTTCACATTTCTGCACTTTTGTTCAATCACTGCTTCATGCGGCCTCCACGTGTAGCTAGTGCTGGCTAGTTCCTGAGCACAGGAAGGCCAGGCCAGGTCTCAGGGAGGAAATGCATGTTATCATTGATAAGCTGCTCAGGCACGAATATGGTGCTGTTTACATTTTTGCATGTAAACTGTCCATGTTAATGAGTCAACAGTACCTATTTAAAAGTGTCTTTAAACAAACAGGATATATCAATCAGCTGAAAAAAGTGCTGTGTGTGGCCCCAGGTTCACAGGAACCTTGCTTCCCTCCCAGGAGCTGGGGCCCAGTGTTCATGATGACTTTACAGAACATAACTATTGCCAGTGAGGAGAACTGACAATGAATTGTTTTAAGGCAACCATCTGATGGAAGGACATCAACTTGTACAAGTGTCACATGTACCCCTCTGGTGGGTGTCTCTAGTCTCCTTGTGGCACTAGATCTCTGAGTAGAAGTGAGTCATTTCTGGCATAGGCTTGACTTTACTTTCTTAATCTGTTCCTTCAAAAGCCTCAGATTTCTACCAGCCTCAACTGAAATGATTTTGCAAATCCTATAGGTTTTGGGCAGGTAAATAATGTTTACCATTTGCATGTCTGCTTTTAAAGTACAAAATAATTTGTTCATGAATGATATCTGAAGAATGGATCTTTGTCTTAATTAAGGTAGCCATTTTATTTTAATATGGAGGAATTGGTCATTCCTGGGATTGTACCTCTTTTGATTTGGTTGTTTATTTGAAAAAGTTGGGTACTAATAATTTGTGCTTCAGTCTCCCCATTTGCAGAAGGAAATAAAAATCTTCATGTTGTCATTACCAACCTTGGAATGCATAGCTGAATGTTTTAACCATGTGCAAGGTTCTGGGCTAAGCATTGTACACACATTATCTCATTTATACTTTCAGATGAAGCATCTAAGACTTAGAAACTTAAGTAACTTGGCCAAGATCACAGGTTCACCAAGGTCTAGTAAGTGACAGAGCTGAAGCTTATCTGTGTTAGAGAGATGTTTTGAGGAAAAGTGGCAGGGTTCTCTTCTGCTTCTGAACTTTGCAGAAATCGGTGTTCATGAAATTTTTGCATGTAAACTGCCCTTGTTTAGATTGAACCATTAGAAAAACCAAACAACCATGAAGCTGCAGTTCCCTTAGGAATACTAAGTTATTTGTCAGAGAAAAGAATGTAATTCTAAGACCTTATTTTCTTCTGTGTATTATTCAACTAAAGTCTAATTTTCTTGAAGGGATTGGTTATAGGTTACTGACTTTCTTAGATAAGAAAACGAATGTCATATAAGGAAATACAGAACCTTTGAATGCCCATTTGTTAGTCATTCTCAGTCCTTACTGTGGAACGGAATCACCTGAAAAATGGGTGACTGTACTGAAGCCCCACTGAAAGGCTCTTTGGGAGTAGGGCCTGAGGGTTGGGTATTTCTTCTTCCTACAAGGGTGTCAGGTGATCTGCAGCCAGCACTGGAACCAGAGCCATAAGACATGTCTGCTTCTTTCCCCTGATCTCTCTTTACCTGCTTCTCTAACACCCAGATCTTTCACCATAGCAATAACTGATCCACTTTATTTTCCTTCTTCTAGATTAAAGATTTTTTGAGCTACATCTGCCCTGTGAATGCATATCCAAATGTCATTCCATTAGGCACAACTATGGATAAAGTTATAGAAATGTGAGTACTTACTACTCATGGAAATCTATTGTTGAACCAGATCAATCCAGATAGTTTCAGACCTGAGAACAGGGTAAGGATATAAAATGGATGTGGCTGTGAATCCGTTTCTGGGTGGGAGCATAAGTGAGCAATGTTATATATAATGCTAAAGGCTTCTGGGAATCTGGCTTAAAGAAGAAGTTGGCAGTGAAGGGCTTTTATCTTCACTATGTCTTAGCTTTCATCCTCTAGAATGAAGACATAAATTTGTGAGATTTTTGCAAGAGGTAAGTAACCCCATTAAACAGGGAGGGGGAAGTGGCTAGCCATACCGTATTCCCTCGTTTTTTAAAATAAGGAATAAGGAAAACTGCTTTTCTGCAGTATAAGAGGAAAGATAGCAATCTACCAGGTTGTATTTAAGTGCTTATTAAACATTGCTTTTTTAAAAAAGTAGTTGGGTGATTTCCCCCATGGCCAAGTTTTTACAATCTCTATAAATCAATCTTACATTCTAGCAGCTTTCCCAACAGGAAAAATGAAATATTTGTATTCCTTTCAGCCTAAAGCCTTTATGCCGATCTTCCCAAAGGACGGAGCCAAAGTATAAGCCACTTGGCAAACTGAAGAGAGTTAGAACAACCCACATAGACTCAGGTAAGAAGGACGACCTTGGCTTTGGAGGTCAAATTAATGGCTGCATAGTTTGTATAATGACTACACAGTGGTATATTTAATCTTTGTCATTGTACATTTAGGTTATATTGAACTTTTCAGTTTACAATAATATTGTGAATACTATATGTAAGTCTGTTTCACATCTCTCATTGGGTTAAATTGTAGAAACTAAGGTGCTTGATATGTGTTGCCAAATTGTTTTCTGATACAGTTATACCAGATATCAACAGTGCAGTGGAAAGGATCTATAGTTGTCCCCTTTTAATTGGATTCATGTGCATTTCTGTATAACAGCTACTAAGGATTTCAACACACTTATATTTGTGATATTTTCAGTTTTGTCTTTCCCTTTTCATATAGAGACATTTACAATCTGTAAATTGTTATAAAACAGAATACAATGTCAGAATAAACTTCTAATAGTACAGAAACTTTACTTGTTTTTTAGATACATATAGGTGAGTTAAAATATTTTACAGTTGAAACATACCATGATATTGGTATAGTCACTGATCTAGAGATGATACAAAAACATTTCATTTAAAGAGAACTTTGGCACACTAGGAGCTAAAACATGTATAATCCCTGACTTAAAATAAAGCTCTATCTTGGAGAGTAGGATGATTTCAAAAACAGTAGCTAGACATCTTAGTTACCTTAAGGCTTTTGGGAAAGGATAAACAATTATAACACTGGAATTGGGTTTGATTCTTGTCCCTGGCTCCTCATTGGTAAAATAGGGGCTGGATGATGATGTCTGTGCTCTACTTTTCTTAGTGGCTTTTAAAGATATGTTTAGCCATATCCTTTATCATTGGGAAGACAGGAAACACTAAATCCAGCACTAGAACATTAAGTTGCCACATATATAGTTTTCTTGTGTGCATTTAATTTCCTTAGGTGCCCTTAGAGGAGCAAGAAATACTGTGCCTTCTCATTCAACTTGCACAAATTTCATTCTCCAAGTAAAGTTTCCTCATTTTAGGAATTTAAGTGGACTGAGCTCACTTTATGCTAATGCAATTAGCTTGATCAATCTGTGTCTCTCTAGTGTCTGCCAGAGCCTCATAAACTTAGCCAGCTTTGGCTGCTGTAACGAATATTGGAGCCCAGGTGACTTAGACACCAGAGAGCTACTTCTGAGATTGAGGCGTGGCAGATCTGGTTAGTGAAGGCCTGCTTCAGGGTTTGTAGCTAAGACGCCTTCTCATTCTGTGCTTGCATGCCCTTCCCTTTGTGCATGGGCATGGAGAAAGGGAGAAATCTGTCTGCTGCTTCTTGCAAGAACACTTATCCTGTGCTAACCCCCAACCCCCAAGAGCTTATCTAAATCAAATAACCTAAAGGTTCCACCTCTAAATACCATCACACTGGGGTTAGGGTTTCACACTATGAATTTTGGGAGGATACAAACATTCAGCCCATAGCATGTACAAAGTTAAGTATCAACAAAATGTTCACAGAAGGAAAACTTCAAACTCACTGAGCATCTATTTGCAGGTGGAGTTTATAAACCTAGTCCAGGTGGCTCCCAAAGCTGGATGATAAACAGAATCATCTGTAGAACTTAAAGCAAAAAATCAAACTGAGTCCCACCTTTAGGGATTCTGTAGGTGTGGAATGATATATAGAATGCTTTATTTTTTTTAAGATACTCTAGAGGATGGTCAAGGTTGAGAACCACTGATACGGGCATTATTTGTGGCCTTATTTGGAGAACACATAAGTATTTTCAACTCACAGTCTGGCATTAGAGAGACTGAAGGGTAGTAGTTGAATATAAGACCTTTTCATTTCTTTTGGAAGAAGAATGAAGTCCCAAAATGTAGCTAAATGTTACCAGTGGGACTTCAATTAAAAGCACACATTGGCTCCCACTGCATTCTGTGTTTCCTATAAATGTGTTTTGTTTTCCCACAGAGGAGGAGGATGATGATCTCTTTGATGATCTGCCAGTACCTTTAAGGCACAAGGTTCCAAACCAGCGAACTCTTCACCCTGAGGTATTTCCAACGAGTACAGTATCACCAAACAAGCCTGAAAAACTGAGACAAGGCACGGGATGCTTCAAAGCAGAGAGTATGCAAACCTCACTTTGGGCCAACTTTATAGACTGTGAAGAATCCAACAGTGAAAGTGAAGAAGAATTACAAATCCCATCTTCATCTAAAGGAGGCCTGGTTCCTGCTCCACTTCAGCAAAAGGCTGATGTGGAAGTACCACAGTGGGAAGTGTTCTTTAAAAGAAACAATGATATCACAGATGACAATTCAGAAAACTTCCCTTCTTCCATAGAGGCAGGAGGCTCTCAATCACCAAAGGTTTTCAATGATTCTGATGGGGAATCAACTCACATCTCTTCCCAGAACTCTTCTCAGTCAACACACATATCAGAACAAGGAAGTCAAGGCTGGGACAGCCAATCTGACACTGTTTTGTTATCTTCCCAGGAGAGAAACAGTGGGGATATTACCTCCTTGAACAAAAATGGCTATAGACCAAGAATTAAAGAGAATATTTCTGCCTCTCAGATGGAACAAAGTTTACTCTGTCCAAAGGCTCTTTACTCTGATTTGAAAAGCGGAGATGAAGATGTAAATACAGTTGGAGAACCAACTATAAGCAGTGAGAAACACATACTTCAGGAAAAAAGGTTGCCGAATCTTAGTACCAATGCAGATTCACAGAGTTCCTCTGATTTTGAAATTCCCTCTACTCCAGAAGCTGACCTACCTAAACGAGAGCATTTACAATACTTATACAAGAAACTGGCAACAGGTGAGAGTATAGCAGTTGATAAAAGAAAAAGCTCACTCTTAGATACTTAAGAATTAAAATCACTTTATTTTAGAGCAACCACTAAAAAACAAGAGATGGCAGAACTAAATCCAAACATACCAATCATTACATTAAATGAAAATGGTCTAAACACACCAATGAAAAGACAGGGGAAAAAAACCAAACCCAACTATGTACTGCATAAGAAACTCACTTCAAATGACATAGGTTAGGTTAAAAGTAAAAGGACTGAGAAAGGCTAGAGTGGCTCCAGTTCACTGAGGACATCATCCTAAATGTGTGTGTTCCTAATGCCAAAGCACAACCAATGAAAGGAGGACTCACTACTGTGAGAAGTATGCTAGGGCCTTGACCCTCCCTCTCTCTGTAACAGAATTCCTCTACAGAAAATCAGCAAGGACAGCGAAGAACTGAACAGAGCCACCAACCAGCTGGATCTAATGGACACTTAGAGAACACGCCACCCAACAACAGCAGAGTACATGCTTTTCAAGTGCCTGTGACATTGCCCAAGACAGACCACATACTGGGGCATAAATACACTTCAAATTGAAAGACCATAACTTGGTCCTAATACAATAAACTGATGGCTTCAGGAAAAAAAACAGCCCTTATTTATCTCAAAAGATGTTATATCACTTAAGAATGCTGTTGTAAATAACAGTGGTAAAATTAAAACTGGAAAAATTAGGACCTAAAAATAATTAAACAGGAAAAGTGTGAGCATTATGAGTCACTAAGCTTCTTTAAAGTCCATCAATAGGGTATAATTTGCAGTTACACACGGGGGTTTAATGAAGTTTTATTCATGTATTATGAGCAACTTTGGTATGCTGACATTTCATAGATGAAGGAAAGCAGCGGAGATTTCAGTAAAAACAAGTGGCTACGCTAAAACACAACTTGCAGTTCAATTAAACCATGATATGCATTACCACCATGCTGCATGGTAATTAGCCAAAAATAAGTATTGGATCCACAAAACTATAGTTTCAAGATTTAAGAGTCAGTGAGAGAGGAAAATAAACTAGGTGCACAAATGACCCAAAGCCAAGAGAACCCATGAAACCAGCCCTCAATACCCCAGAAGGGAATGTCTCCCAATGCCAGAAGGACAAATCAGCTCTTGTCCACATTCATGGGGAAAAACCAGACAGTGACACCTAGACTTCAAACTTCAGCCGAGAACCTTGTACAAGAGAAAGGATGAGGGGAAGTAACTGACATGGGATAGGGATAGGAGTGAGGGGCCTGGTTCAACTCCTTTCTGAATGGTCTTTGAGAAATATGTTACAGAAGTGTATCTGCCATAAATTATTCAATAGTTTTAATATGAACACCAACAGAGACTAATATCAGCATAGTAAGGTACCTAGAGACAAAGTAAGACAGAGAATACAGAGTTTTATGGGAACACTGACCCCCTTTTTTTCTAAGTCAGCTGCTACTCTGAGCTTTTAATACATTCTACAGACTCAGTATGAGTGGGGCAGGATTACATTTATATTCATTTCATTTTGCCTATCTCTCCTATTACCTAAATAAATTCAAAGCAGATATAAAATTACTCGAGAGCATCAGTAGAGACTGCAAATCACTTGATTAAGTCATAACTACAACAGGCCTATTACAGAAACCCAGAGACTTCATTTGTCATTTATGGCTGTAAAGCACACCTTAAATCATGTAATCAATTGTAACTATATACATTTGTATATATTCACGGACATGACTTTATCTTAATACAGCTTATGATCCAAGGTAGGTGTTTAAAACTTGCCTGTGAACATTTTCTGAATATATTCTTAGCATTTTATAATCACACCATCAATTTTACTGCCACATTTTCATTCTTTGTCTGAATCTGGCATAGTAAATGCTGGCTGAATGAATTTAAGGGCTAAGAGCATGAGAACAGACTTGATTAAAAATAAAAACTTGCCATGATCACCAAAGATTTTAAAGTACAGATTTACAGTACAGAACAACGAGAGCTAATACTTACATAGGGTACTTACTCTATGAGAATGCTGAGTTCTCTACACATTGTATATTAACTCCTTTAGTCCTCACAGTCATCCTTTGAGGTAGATCCATTTTTTTCTCCCCACAGATGAGTGAGGAGGCTAAGGCACGGAGAGGTCAATTCACACAGCTAGTAAGAGGCAAAGCCAGGACTGAAACACAGGCAATTTAGGGCCCAGCATCCATGCTCTTAACCACTGTGCAATAATGCCTTTTAAAACAGCATAAGAGTGGGTAGAACTAATTCAAGTGGCTACTTGATTTTTACTTCAAAAATCATAAAGTATAAAGGAGAAGTGAAAAGAAAAGTTTCAAAATACCAAGATATAGCACCAAAGAAACCCAGCAGCTACCCACATTTGTGTTAGAGAAGAATTCAAAACTTGGAAGTTTGCTCAAAACAGTAGGAATAGGTTCTTAAAACTACCTGTCTGAAGTTGGTTGACTACACTAAAAATAATTAGGTATAGTTTACTGCCTCCGAGCTGGGTGATCTTGGGCATGTAAATGTTACCTAACTTCCTCTGGTATACCAGAGGGATGATGGTACCAACCTCACAGATTGATGAGAAGCACAGAAGTACATATAAAGGGCCTAAATCTAGCTCAAAGAATGTAAATTCTAATTCTAAAATTCCTTTGCACTTACAGGCAATACTTAGTGTGATATGTTTAAGGACCTGGTGACTAATGCTCAAAAAATTTTAGAAGTATCCACCCACATTATGCTAATTTTCTACTTTAATATTCAGATGAATGAACCATGACAATGACAAACTTTCTTACAAGCAAAGTAACATTTAAAGGAATGGTGTAAAGACCTTTGGTTAATCTCCAAAGTAGGTAGGGATACCATCAGTATTTTTCTGCCACTTTTGTGGCAGTAAATGACAGTAAAATATTCAGAAACAAAGCTAAAACCATGCTAAATAGAAAATCAAATGACTGAATTATTTTGCTAAAGAAAAACTGTAAGAAAAATAAGTGCAGTCTAGATTTTGCATATATGGGGAAAAAACCCTGAGATTACCAATTGTGTATCACAATCTTATGTAGATACTCAAAACAATGGTATTAATACAACTTGTATAGGGATTTACAGTTTAAATGATCTAAATATTATCCTTGATTATTTTAAGGACAAATTCAGACAACTTATGAAGCTAATTTAAAGAAACTAAATGTTGACTTAAAATAGTTAAAAGCTCCCAGTAGGTTCGTTTAAATAATTTCTATTATTTCACGGCTTAAGTTCAGTTTTTTACTGTAAGGGTAACTAACACAAGGTAATTAAAAATCTCAAAGGTCCATTAAATTTCTATTAATAAGGACAAAAGTTTACTGAAGGCAGCCATTTTCCTTTTGCCCTCCTGTTCTACATTTTTTAACACAAAAAAAGGAGACATCAAATAACTGGATAGAAAACACTGAGATTTTAAAAAGAATGTTAAAATTACATCTTTAAACCTGTGAGAATTAGATTGAAAGTAAGCCTGGCCACTGGGAGCCACCCTTAAATCTGCAACTTTTCTCACCACTGACACCATATGTGACTATTTTTTTTCAAAAAGAAAACTTAAGAAATGGCACTAAACATGTATTTTTTCCTTGGCACATTCCACAAATTTTGGTTAGCAGATATGTATTCTGAAGCTTCAAACATGCAAAAACTTATCCTACATTATGAAAGAGCAAAGTCACATGGTAACAACAGAATGAACGATGAAGTGTAGCTTCTCCCCAGAAGAGGTAAAGGATTAAGAAGATACTTGAAGTGCTGCAGCCCAGAAGTCAGTTCAGTTTTACCCAAGCTTATTTTAGGTCATTAAAGCCTAGGGCAATGAGCTCAGGAAGAACTTAATTAGCAATACCAAAAGCTAGATTTGCTTCATTTACCTTCATGTTGGGCACCATCATTAGAAATCTCAGAATCAGAAAGAGATGAAAACAGTTTCCTGATTGAGGTTTTACTATGCAGGAAAAACAAAACAAAACAATGGATATTTTCCATTTCAGTCTCAACAGTTCAAGTAACAAATGGTCAGCTTTATCACATTTAAAAAATTCATGTACAAAATAACTATTAGTTCAAAATATAGATTACTTTTTAAGAGCCTGTAGGAAGTATAAAAATAATTAAATTTGGTGGAAAGCATGTTAAAATTGCCTGAAATCCACACGCTTATGTAATGCACCGTGTGGAACACTGTCATTAAGTACAGCTGCTCTCAGGAGCATCTTATTTTACTGTTAAGCGGACAGGTACTCAGCATGGATCTAATTCATGTCAGACTAGGGCCTTTAAAGTGCTCCATTTTCCCTGCCTGGCATTCCAAAAAACCCTCCTGGTCCCACTGCCTCACTCTTTCAAAGAAGCATAATAGGCAGCCATTCTACAATTTTAGGTTTTTTTTGGAGATTTTTCTTCTACAGGATTAAGAAATCTTTAAGAATTATTGGTACAGACATACATGCCTCAGTGGTCTAGACTGCTTCAAAATATGAAATCAAGGTGTAATTAAATTTTTTTAAATTGTAGACCATAACTTTGTATTAAGATCCCAATGTTTTAGGGAAAGAAGTAGAAGAGAGACTATAATTCAGTATCACCTACTGTCTCAAATACAAATAAGGTGAGTAGTAAGTAAACAGGAATGACAACAGAATAACAAAAATAGAACTTGCATATATGCCAATTTGAATTAACTCTTTAAATTCCAGGAGTATGGCAAGTTAAATGTTTGATCTTAGTGATTGTTCCTTTATCAGTTTAACATTTAAATACTGAAGGAGACATTTTCTCTATTAACACAGACTTCTTAAGTATATATACGCTCATCTGTGAATGGTCTGCATGTTTGACATCTAACCACTAAATATATGTATTTCAATTAGTCTATGTGACCCTGTGTTCCTGTCTTCAGAAGCATCAGTAATGCATTTATTTGGCCAACAGTTTGAAACATGAATTGTATATTAACATAGTGTATAGTCTTTGTAATATGAAGAGTCCTGAATACTTATTTTTTAAAAAGTTAACATTTGAAAAAACAAAACTACAATTATCATAAGCTCTTTTTCCTGAAAATTCTTCAGTTGAGGTAACCTCTGCAAGTCACAGCTCCACATTTGCACACAGTCCTGACCGTCTTTTTGACTGGGCTGTGGTCAATAGAATCTGAAGATACATCCCCAGAACCTGAATAGATAGAAAAAGAAATACAGAAGAAAGAGTTAAGACAATTCAGAATGAGTTTCAAATTTCCTATCAGATTAAACAAATGTGAATATTCAGAGACAAATCATTATGAATTGTTTTGAAAGGATGTTGTGTGCTAATAAGAGGTAAAGTGTATGTTAACCTATATTTATGAGAATGGATTTTTTAAAATGATAACAGTTATGGGAAAAATCCAATATACAATTATTTTGTATACTAAAGAGCCATAAAGCAAGATCAAGTAGTAACAATATGAAAAAGGCATCATACCTAGACAAAGGAAAAAAAACACACTGCCACCATAAAGCAAACAATTAAATGGTTTTTTTAGAAGCCATTTAAAATTCAAGTAGGAATGGAATGACTTCATATATGATTTAAGTCTTATTTTCAATCTCTTGAATATACATGTCTAAGTAAATGTTCAGAAATGTCGGCTTATAATTTTTTTAATACAAGCAATATTGAGAAAAGATGTTATGGTAAATAAGCTTCCATAACAGAAATTAGGAAAAAAAACCAAACAGGAGGCAATGTGATGAGGGAGACAGAGCATTACTCAGCCTGAGGTTAGGCAGATCTGGATTCCAGTTTTAGCTCTGTCATATCAGCTTTGTGACCTTGAGCAAAAAGACACTCTTAAAACCTCCTTTTCTCACTTTTAACATTAGTTTGGTTTAGATGGAAGGTCTTTTCCTACTCTGATTAGATTCTTCATGTGGAAACACCAATAGTCAAACTGTACTTGAAAACCATACCTTTCATTTGATAATCAAAAGTGAGCTCTTCTCCAGCATTTATGGTTCTTGTAGAAAATAATGCTATTCGGGGAAGACGAGTATCGAGGTTATCAATGAAAACATTGAACACCTGAAGATTTGGGTCACACTAAAAAGAAACATCAGAACCCATTTAAATTTAAGTGATGTGAACAAGCTCCTCCACATGTCAAATAAAATCTCTAATCTCCCAGAGTATTTGTTTTTTTTTTTTAAGTTCAACTGGAAATAGGTTATTATTTAGAGGTCTTTGAGGCATGCACATTTAAAAATACTGTTCTCACTTAGAGTAAATCAAAAGACTAATAAGGGAGCCAGAAGGTCTCTGACATTTTACTACTAATCATTAACTAGTCTCTTGGTATAAAACCCATCAAAAGTTTTAGCATGGTCTTCTTTCTTATATAGTCAGCTATATAACTTAACTCTCCGAGACACAGGTTCCCTATCATCAAATGGAGATAATGCTTCATACAGTTATCCACTTGGCACTTACTAGATGTCCAAAACTATAATCTCTCTTGTTTCTGGGAAGATTTTTATAGAGTACAAAATTCTAGATTTAAGGTTCCAAATGTACATTCTAAGTTCTTCTCCAATATGAATTAAGAATGCTAATTTATAATTTAGAAAAACAGCCCTACGTATGTCAATACTCTATACTTCAATTTTATGAGTGTTAAATTTTAAGAGTACAGCTATCTTTAATTGTATATTCTAAAATTTAGCTTGTGCTAACTTTCCTAAGAAAAGTATACTTATATGTGCTTCTTAAACTTTTTACCAACTAAATCCTCTGCTCATTAATTTCCCCTCTAGAAGAGGAGAAACCTATAAACGTATCTTATAAGGTTGTTGGAAAGTTTACATCAAGTAATATGTAGCAATGATACCATGCCTTAACAGAGGAGGCCCTTGTATTAAAATACTCTGGAAGTATTAAAAGGGTATATTAATTATCCTCAACTATGGAAAATGACTGAAAAAAATTATGAAGTTAATAAGCCTTGTCTGTATTTCTTACACTGTGATTCACAAAATGGGACACATTTCCATATCGAGCTGCATCCACTGTAAATTCATCAGATTCATAGTCCAGATCAAAGAGATATGTGATTCCTTTGTTGTCATATAACTGTCCCCGTCTTTCAGCTTCTTCACTTGTAATTACCTAAGAAGAAAAAAACTATAGTATATTATATAGCTATTGCTGAACTGAAGCAACTCTATTCATAGCTCTATTAATTACATAATATATAAATGGCTACAAGTGTTTGAAAAGTAAGAAGTTAAAGTGTCATCAAAATGAACATTTACACTAACTGTAAGAGCTAGACGCAAAGAGGTGGGAAAACAAAGGTTGGAGAAATGGTGGAAAAGAATTAGGATTGGTGAATAGGAATTAGGATAATCCAACAATAAACAACTTCAAATAGTGCATTACTTTCACTCTAATTTATTGATATTAAAAAAGCTACCCAACCGTAGCTCTCTGTAGGACCTAATAGAATGTAAAGGATTAAATTTACAAGTATACATGCTCTAAACGCATATTCTTCCTATAACTAATCTGTGTGCAATTACAAATGAAAATCTTACAAATACAGGAAAGAAGAGATATTAAATAGTTTTATAGGGCATACTGTTCCATGCAGCTCATAATCTTGACCTACAGTTCTGCTCTTAACAATACAGCTTTACCACATGCTCATCTTAAGAAATGAAAAGTGACCCTCCTATATTGTTGGTGGGAATACAGATTGGTGCAACCATTGTAGAAAGCAATATGGAGGTTCCTCAGAAAACTAAAAATAGAAATACTATTTCACCCAGTAATTCCACTCCTAAGAATTTACCCAAAGAAAACAAGATCCCTGATTCAAAAAGACATATGCACCCCATTTTTATCACTGCATGATTTACAACAGCCGAGATATGGAAGCAACCTAAGTGTCCATCAGTACATGAATGGATAAAGAAGATATGGTACATATACACAAAAGAAAAAGAATCCTGCCATTTGCAACAACATGGATGGATCTAGAGGGTATTGTGCTCAGTGAAATAAGCCAGGCAGAGAAAGACAAATACCAAATGATTTCACTTATTTGTGTAGTATAAAAACAAAGCAAAACAGAAGGAACAAAATAGCAGTAGACTCACAGACACTGAGAAGGGACTAGTGGTTACCAAAGAGGAGGGGCTGGGGAGTGTGGGGGGTGGGAGGGGATTCAGGGGTACAGTAATTCACAATCACAATATAGGTTAGTCACGGGGACAGTATTACAGCACAGAGAATACAGTTAATGATTCTGTAACATCTTACTACATTGATGGGCAGTGACCACACTGGACCGGGTGAAGACTTGATAGTATGGCTAGATGTTGAACCACTGTGTTGTGTATTTGAAACTAACATAATATTGTATATCAATGATACTTTAATAAAAAAAAAGAGAAACCCAAAGTGATACATGTCTATGAAATACAGCTGCTGCATTCATTAAGCCAAAAAGAGAGTAATTTGATTATTCAAGATCTGGTATCCTGAATAGTCACTTGTAATAATCTGCCATTATCTAAAAACATAAGGCTCAAAATAGAGATCCACTTTAATTTCAGAATTCTAGATGAATATAGGTAATTATAGGTGATCTCATTCCAAACAATTTTTTAAATATCAGATTTGACAACCCCATCAATATATGCAAGCCATACTCTGATTTTTCTACTAGCAGCTGAGCTCGCCATTCAGTTTGAGGAAGTGTGGTACAGGCGTGAAGTGCACTGACTTTGGAGCCTTGATTTTGCATGCTGGCTTTTCTTTGCTGTGTGACTGTGGCAAGTTACTTAACTTCCCTGTGTCTTAGTCTCCTCATGTAGAATGGAGAGTACTGTCTCCATTACAAGCTCCAATACATAATGCTTGGAATGGTAATGTGGCACATGGGAAACATGATTTTTTATATACATTATACATCTAAAAATACATTTGCTTATTTGATAATTTAGAGAATAGTCTCTGTAGTTGAGTTACAAAGAGTTTGAATCTTCTTATGGATTCAATAAATGTTTTATGTATATTTTAAAATACTTGCTCATAAAGCATTGATTGGTCCACTCTATAGTATCTTGCATATTGATACAAAATTGAGTTTTTGCCAACCACACTTAACCATATTTGGTCAAATGGCTGAAGTAAATCATAATTTAAAATTTAAAAGTTTCAAAGTGAGCATATGTTTAGATCTGATTTTCTTCTTAGGACTTTTGTGTAAAATTAGTTGTCATATTTTCAAGTTTGCAGATTCCAGGGTTAATGACTATGAATGGGTGATTGTTGAAAGATGGCCATATCTTTTTGTCTTTATATATATATTGTTCATTAATCAAGTTTGTATTTCTAACTATGCCTGTGAACCCTTCTCGCAAAAACCCCTGAAATTTCTACAGATTTGCAAATGATAACATCAAAATGTACTATATTATATTACTGGTATAAAAAGTTAACTTTTCAAAAGCATAAACCTTCCGTGTACATGATTTGCTATGTGATGAGTTGAACATACCTCTCCAACATATTCCATGACAAAACTCATTCTTTTAATCTTCACAAGGGTTTTTACACCCCAGCCACAGCCATTGCTAGTTCGAAAGATGCAAAGTGAATACTGTGTACCTTTCTGTACAATCCGATTGGGACAATCGGGTCCACATTGACACCTTGAGTTGCATTCATAAATGGGGGTACCAGGTGGGATTTTAATTTGTTGGTTTTTATTATAAGCCAAAAGAACTCCAGCTTCAGCAGGACAACATTTCTCAAAGAAGCAATCTGTGCACGAACAACCAAAGGTAGCTTCATTTACTAAGCTGATTCCAGGAGCTGGTTTGTATTCATTAATGTAGTAGAAGTCTGAAGGTGGGCCCTCTAAGTCAACAGTATTTTCAACAAAAATCATTCCTTTATGATTCTTTCTTCTGTTGAGTTCATCTTGCCACCTCTGCAGAGCTATCCTTTGTTTTGCCTTCTTTACAATGTATTCAGCAACAGCAGGTCTCAAAGCTTTGTTCTTGTCTCTTAGAGTTATTGCTTTGCCTTTCTTTACCTGAGATAAATAACTATGCTTGTCATTAGAAAATTGCCGAAGTAGTAATGGGCACTTGAGATTTTGCAAAGGTTCCCAAGTATTTGTAGAAGCTGGCCATCCTTTCCATTTTACAAGATAATATTCCATATCCTTAAAATATAAAAGAAAATTCAAATCAGATTATGATAGTCCCAATTATTTAAAATAATTCAATATCCTAAAGAATGAGGTATCCACATTATCATTTTTCTCTTAATAAAGTTCAGAATATATAGTCACTGCTTTCTAGTAGATTAAGTACAGACACAAATATAAAATTGTTTTTCTTTATACTACATAAAATATGATAGAATTTAGATGTGGCATAGTATTTTACCATAGACAAAGGAGTCGCAACTGGAGAGTGATCAAAGTACTGAAATTTGTGAATATTTTACCAAACAGTGATTAAACAAAAATAAGTGTTTATCTTGATTATGGAAATAATTAGTCCCCAAACTAAAACTTATAACCTAGGTTAGCAGCTTACTTGGCAAGGATAGATTTAGTATTCTACACCAGATACAAGGGAAGTTCTATTTCTTAAGTTCATGGGCACACATCCCCTGGATGTTCTAGAGACACTGTTTCCAATAGTCATTCCTCGCTGCAGGCAGTTATCAAGCACCTGAAATGTGGCTAGTCTCAACTGAGATGTGCTTTAAGTATAATCTACACTGAATTTCTAAGACTTAGCACAAAAGAGTATAAAATATTTCCTAACTTTTAAAAAATACTGATGGTACATTGAAATATTTTGGATTTATTGGGTTAAATATATTATTGAAAGCAATGTCACCTATTTCTTTTTACTTTAATGTGGTTATTACCAAAAAATTTTAAATTATTCATATGTAGCTCATATTATATTTCTACAGCACAGCAGGATTACAGAGAATTCTTACCTTATTTAGACTCACCAGTGATTGGGTTAGGTAGCAGGCACTCAAGCCACCAAAGATCAAATATTTTGATTTATCCCTCAGATTGCTGTTGGCCACCATGGTACCTGTAATCTTGACTTCCTAACCCACTGACTTGAAAATGTTTTCTTCCCTTAAAGTCAGGCAATGCCATGTTAGGTTTATCTTAAAAAAAAGGTAGTCAAGTGTGTCTAATAAAAAATTCTTAAGTCAATTTTTTCTTTGTCCTCAGAATAACTAACAAATATCCATATGCCCCCAAGGTAAAATACCTTCTGAAATATGAAAGTGATTAACATGCATCCTATAGTTTTCAGTTATTTTAAATCACAGATATTGATAAAAACTTAATTGGGATACATTTACTTTTCTCTGAAATATTTAATAATATTTTCATTATAATGTAAGGATGACATGACAGTTGTTTTCCTAGTCATAATTTATTAGTGCCAATGACCTGGAAGGTCTAGTTATTAGTCATATTGCTGTGGCACAAACTGGGCTAAGCAGCAGTAAGGCAGCTCTGCAGGAGCAAATCACCTAGCTAGTGAGTGAGCTTATTTTCACCCCTCTCTCTTCATCTCAGTGTCTTTCTATAAAATAAGCAGTAATACTTGTGAATTAAGAGTTTTGCTTCTGTATGAAAGTGGTCAAAATGTTTTATCTGCTTAAAAATGTGGTTATAGTGTGAGGATATGCATAAAAACTGTATCTCCATGGAAATATATATTGTGATTCCAGAAAAAAAAAATGTGGACATTTTTAAGTATTAGTCAAACTGGCTCACTACATGAAAGTGGTCAAATGTTTTATCTGCTTAAAAAATGTGGTTATACTATGAGGATATGCATAAAAACTGTACTTCCATGGAAATATATATTGATTCCAGAAAAAAAAACTTGGACATATTTAAGTGTTAGTCAAACTGGCTCACTACATTGTAATGATTTTTCCCTCCTGTCAGTTAATTACTAAAATTTGGGATTACTGTTAACAGATACCTGCTCAACAATACTGATAATCCGCCTGGCAGTATCTAACATGTCTATTTCCCTTAATTAGAAAAGTTTTAATTTTTCTGATTCCAGAATAAAGCAATGCAACCCTGGTCCTTTTTTTCCTGCTAAGTTTCTCCTATCATAGCCCTGGGTCATGACAAAAGTTGCCAGCAAACAACGAAAGCAACAGCAACACTGACTTCAAGTTAGATGACTACGATACTATATCATCCAGCAAAATTAATAACACCATGCCACTGAAATCTGCTTGTAAAATAATGTACTGCATTGTTTAATGATGAGTCACTTGCATGTTTTAGTGACTAAGTTTTGTATATTAATCACACTGGTACCTACTCAATTTATGGATGGTAAAGATACTTATAAAACATGAATGCCTTTGGCAAAAGAGTAGAGTAATATTAGTAATACTTTACTTTTACTTTGTAGACTTATTTTATAAGTGTATTTTGCTTTTAAAATGCAAAACATTTCTATTTTGAAAAATAATTTTACACAGAAATATCAGTTTGACTCAAGAAACAAATTCAACTAATTCAGTACTCTAAAATTTGAAATAAAAGCCAAAATCTTACATCGGTATCTTATTCTGATATGCAATCAACTCTTGATTACCTATAGAAATGGAATACAGTTATAAAAATGATCCAGAAATCACTCCTGTATAGTATGGATCACATGAATTTTTTCTTAAAGACATTTTCCCCCACTATGTTTGGTTTAGGCTAAATTCATTAAAATATTTTAGTATCTATAATATATGAAAGTTCGGTCACTAGAGAAGATATGGTGAAATGTAATACTAGACTTTTAGAGTAAAATCTCACTGGTAAGAAGGAAATGATATAATAAGTAGCAATGCAAGGCAGTACAATTTTAAATGCCAAAACAAGACAGTAAATACCACTAGAATATATAGAGGTGAAACCATTGGTCAGACAACCAGAAAAGGGTACAGTGAAGGAAGCAGAACAAACTACACTATGAAAGACTGATAGGATTTGCTGGGTAGGGAACAGGCAGGCATGATAAAAAAAATGAGCAAAAGCTTGGAGCTAAGATTTGCATGAAGTAACTAGAAAACAATGAAGAGATGGATTTGGCTAGCTTTAAAGGTCAAAACATTGAAGCGAGAGATAAAACTAATGACAAGGCAAGAGCGAATTTAGTCCTTAACACTTGACTGAGACATGTGAACTTTACTGTAGGCCAATGGTTTTTACAATTTTTAGAAACCGCGGTGTGTCTGTGGAGAGCTTCATTAAATCCATTTAGTTCCATCTTGTTTATCAGACACAGTTTTACCAATCTTTTAATTGCCAATCCAGTGGCTCCTCAGTCCTCATCTTACTCGACCTTTCCTTAGACTGTGATATCATGATTCTCTCTTCACTCTTGTTCCTTTTCTACCTTCTTTGCTGAGACCACTACCCCTGCCCATCACTTAAACAATGCAGATACTCAAGGCTCTGTCCTTGGCCCCTTTGCACTCTACACAACTGTTTATCTCTTCTGACAATCTGAAGGCGGCTATGGACTTTTCCCTAACAAAAGTCACGTATATAATATTTTGGGTAATTTCAGGATATTGGATTCCAGGTTAAGAACTCTTGCTCTAAATGCTCTGAGCAACATCATCATTCCAATAGTTTTTAAGGATATGCTGATGATTCCCAAAGTTTTATCTGCAATCTGATATATCCAATAGCCTAGTAGATATCCAACAGGTTCTTAAATCAATTTATCCACATGGAACTCACCACTGTACTTTCTAAACAGATTCTTTTTGTATTGCCCATCAAGGGGAATCTTAGACCTGCCCACCTAGGTATACAAGTTGCAAACCAGGAGGTCAAATCACAGTTCTCTCTTCTCCTCAATGCAATCCATCACTAAGTTTCTTTAGATGCTTCGTGCTATCTTTTATGATTGCTGTAGTTAATTCTTGCCTGAGTTATTAATCTCCTAAGTAGTTTCTGTGCCTCTAGACTGACAACCTTCAAACATACCTTTCTTTACTAAAGTGTACGATTTTCTTATAAAACAAAAAATCCATAGAACCACATATTCAGTTATTTTCTGGCTTAAAAATTTTAATGACTCCCCCAATGCCTGAAGAATGATGTTCATACTTCAGATAATAACAAAAATTTTTCTTGCTTGGGCCCCCTGATGCCTCTTTGGTTCAGACTTACATTACGGCTCCATTCACATACCACCTCTAGCCACACTTAACTTTGGAGAGTACTTGAACATGCCAGGCCTTTTCAGACCTTTCTGCTGCTTTGTTCACAAAGTTCTCTCTAATGAGAATGGCCCCTTCCATTTGCCTAATGAACACCTTATTTCAGTGTCATCTTTTATGTGCAGAAAAACCTACTCATCTTTAAACTCAGACCAAATGTCGTGTCTTCCATGAAGTCTTCCTTGTCTCTCTTGCTCTAAGAGGACTGATCAGTGGCAACTTCCTTATGTTCCATTTCTAATCTAAACTATTAAGTCACTTGTGGGGACGGAGGGCTCTTATTCTTCATAGCCCCAGAACCAAGCACAACTGCTTATGTCTTAGGCTTTGACTAAATGTCTCTGAATATATAACAAAAAACAAGATATCAACATGTTACACAATATAAAACTCACAAGAGTAACTATATGAATTCTTAAAAGAAATATGAGCTGTTAAATGTCATCTGGAGATGCTAATCTGTGGTTCTGCATTATTTGTTTTATCATCTACTAACCATTTATAGCCAATAAATAGTAGCAAAACTAATATATATATATTGGGAGGACAAAAAACAAAAATCTATTTTCCCATTCGCTAATTTTTTCCTCTAAGGGTTGAAATACTCATATTCAACATTAGTGGTAGAACAGCCTGAATCCGATTCTGAAAACACCAATTCCATGGGAACACAGTTTGAGAACTATTATGGTCAAGGAGAAGTGTGCATTTTCATGCCAGTAACTGACAGAGTGTAGGAACTGCAGGACCTGGGTTGGAGGTCCAAGACCAACACAACCTTGGAAAAGTCCTTTCTTGGAGCTCTGTTTTCCTGATTTCTAAAAGCCAGGTTTTAGTCTAATGAATTCTGTTATTCCAGTTCTTAACAAACTGCTCTAAATACAGTCATCCTTTTAGAAATATTAACCTATTGTTAGGTAAGAG